TGACAACTCAAACGGACGCTGAGCCCAACTCTGCGGAATTCCTCGACAACTATCGCCGCATGAATGTGGCTCTTTCTTGTTGTAGGCATGGCCAGTTCATCCTTGGGCGCCCGGATTCTCTGGCTCGCATTCCCTTCTGGAGTCGTGTACTGGAATGGTCGCGCTCCCTCAATGCTGTGGTGCCTCACGTCGATCTTGACCGGTATTTTCAAGACCTCTAAGCCCTAAATGAGTTTTGTCTATATCTGTATAAGTCCGGGTCGGACTTAAATTAAGGCAGGGAGGTGTGAGTGAGTGTGAGTCAGTTTTCTAATTCGTTACTGTAGCTGACTCATGGAGTTACAGGGCGTGTCAGATGAGACGTTTGAGGAGCTGAGAAGAGAGAAGGACCGACAGTGGCCACAGCTGGCGACTCTCGACTCCGGGCCCCGTCGACCGTCTGCCAGCCATCCCTGCAGCCTCGCTTCCCCTCGCACAGAGTTCTTATTGCTCATAGTATTCATATATTGCCTTCTGCTTAATTTCCAATAAACTATGATTATCCTTCAACTGTTTGACCTCGGGACATTTGCTGTCAGACAGACAGACTTACACACACTCACACAAAAACACGTAAAAATCTTTAGCCCGTTATTACTAGTTGGCTTTCTCGGTCCAGCCCGGGTCATTGCTCACCTGCAGTGCAAGCCCCCCCCCCCCCTCTTATATGTTATGGATGGCTTACCCTGCCACATCCGCTTTGAAACTGCATCCTTGTGATCGTGAGGTAAAAATGAGCTTCACCGCCCTTTTTTACATTACTGTGGGAAAATGCTTGATTAAACATGATAAGTCTTCAGTTCCTTAGAAAAACGTAAACAAATCAATAAATCGATAGAAGGACTCAGCGAATTCCAGTGAAAGGTAGCCTAAAACCGTCCCCGGGGTCGAAAACATCTGTGTGCAAACTTTCAGCCCAATCGGTTGAATGGCGCGCGTTTCTATAACTCACATACCCTCCAAACAGACAATTTTTGAGTTTTATATATACAGAGATGGTGATCTTATGCGCTGCGGATATCAATAATCACTAGTGCGACGAGGCATCAACGGTGGGAACTTGAAAGGCGACGTCAGAAAGACGATGTCATTTCTGTTGATATTCCTAGTGACAACATCAAAATGCTGGTCCGTAAGACACTCTACGACAACTACTGCAGAATCCAATCTGTGTGGTTTGTCCATCCGGTAAAGTTGGTGACTGCGGTAAGACTGCTGTCATATATGAGAATGAATGTATCGAGTGCGGCGCCACTTATATCGGAGAGACCGCTTTGGATAAGAATGAAAGAACATCTTGCCAGCAAGAGGCAAGGAAGTCTTACCACCCCGCTTGTAGACACAGGGTTCGATTCATTCTGATAAAGACTTCGAAATTAGATGTACTGTACTAGCACACGCGTACATACTGCTAGTATAGAAGCTTTCGAGACATACTGGATTGTTGAAGAAATCCATGCATGAACAGCCGAAATGAGTGCGCGTCAATCACGAACAACTTCAACTTTTGTTGCTGTTTGAGTTGAAGAATGCCACTGATTAATATTAATATGGTACACTTGCACATTTTCGTTTGTGACATTCGAAGGTAAAATCGAGGCTGGCCAGGGGTGGAAGATGTATGTGGTGGGGTAGAGCATAGTATCTGAATCTCTTACCGCTGCAGGTCTTTGAAGAAGACGAACACGCCGAAATGTCAGGCCGCCATTAACAATAAACATCTACTTACCTCAGAACCTACTAATCTCGGTATCTACTAACCTCGGTCCTACTATCTACTAACTTTACTCACTACAATACTAACAATGCCGAGGTTTACGAAAGAGGAAACTTGGAAGCTACTTACTGGTAACCATGAACGTTTTTTATATGAGTTCGCTTTGACAACTTGCGCTCTTGAGCCTATGCCTGTCCTCTCAACATGCGTGCTTTGATGTGACATCGATAAGGTGCACTACCGCCGTCTACCACCTGGTAATTTCTTTTCAAGCACACCACGCATACGATAGGCCTTGCGTCTGTCAAACGTGCGCTTACGTTTGAGTGATGATAGCATTGACACATCTTAAATCATTACGAGGATAATGACAAGGTACTGACTTCTGTCACTACTAGGAAATGGACAATTGCTCAGTATCATGTGGAAGATGATGCGCACAGGTACAGAGTCTAGGAGAATTCGAACATAACTACGAAATCAGCAAGATGAACAATCAAAAAGAATGTTTACTCGGTAGTTTCTATAAGGGCCTGCAGGATCGCAGAGTCGGACGTGCGTACGGCCATTGCGCAGATGTGCGTCCGAAGATTCAGGTAGGTGCCAGAACTATCCTGTTGAACAGGTTCATTCGGTTCACCACCTTTGCTGTTGGACAATGTAGTGATTTGACCCATGAACCTAACGAACCGGCTGAAGAGGATAAGTCTGGCACTTGCCTTGGTGGCAACGGACGTGCGCGGCGCAATGGCTGTACGCACGTCCGACTTTCGCGATCCTGCAGGCCCCTATACAGGGTGGAGGACATTAGGTCGCCGAATTTGGAAGAGTCCCGCGCGGATTCCCTGCAGGAACGCATGTCCGCGCATGTACAAGGGTGCGTATTTGTCGCAAATGACCGCGGGGACCGCTCTTTTTCGGCGACCTAATGTCCCCCACCCCCTATACATGTGAATTCTTCACATGAAAGTTTCTCATCTGGGGCAGGCGCGGACACGGAGTGCTGTGCACTTCGGACGGAGGTAACTACATATCAATCTCCTTAGAAACTTCGCCTTCGCTGTCCTGTTTAAAGCAATGGTCCACTCCAGCAACTCCTTCTTTGGTGAATGTGTGATTCAAGCGGTCGACGAAGATGGTAACACTGTTTACTATGGAACAATGGCCTACGTTTCGGCGCTGTCGCCTTCGTCAGAGCTTGGAATTCGAAGTCATCAGGCATCTATCTAGCATCAAGATAGATGCGATGACTGCGACTTCCAGGCTCTGACGAAGGCGACAGCGCCGAAACGTAGGCCATTGTATCATAGTAAACAGTGTCACCATCTTGGTCAACCGCTCGAATCACAGGTTCATCAAGTGACAAGCCATACCAAGGTTCAAGGATAGCCGAACATGGACAATACTCCTTTAATATGCAATTCAAGTATGTAACGGCGTCCGTTGGTACACTATGGTAGGAAAATCCGCAGCATCCTGACGTTTGAAGTGACCACCTCCCAGACCATTACGGAAGACGGATAATCCTTCCCTCTTGGAATCCATTTGTTTTTGGCGTCTTGAATATGGTAATCCTGTTGTTGTGGCGAAAAATCCAGCTCCAGGTGAAAAGTTTTCCGTCGATGTAATGAGTGCGTCTTTCTTTCACGATGTTGAAGATGGTTCTGCGGCTGACTGATGGACGGCTTAGAAGCCACCTCACTTCAGAATAATTTCGATAAATGTGCTCCGGTTGGCGTTTCTGACATTGTGAGCAGTGACAGTAGCCGCTTTACCACTCTTAGCACAATCCTGGGTGCTGTTGGTATCTCGGAAACGACGCAGAGTGAACCAGACTCGCTTTTGTGAAATTCCTAGAATCCTCGGCAAAACATTCGTCAGCTTTTCTCTCCTCATACGTCATGAACAGCGCTCGCTCCTTTTGAGAAGGCATATTTCGGGGTGGGAATGAAGCGTCCAATTGGCTTGCATAACAATAGAACAAGAAAAACATATATATTCATTCCATGACTAGGAGACGCGGGACCGCATTGCACACATTGCCTAAACAAGCCTAATCGTGTACTTAGCAGGTTTATACTTGTTATTTATCTCGTCCAGGTTTATTTATTCTTTGGAAACAGGGAAGAGCAAATTCATTTCTTGTAAGGACGATGTTCGCAATGCGGTCTCGCGTCTCCTAGTCATAGAATAGATGATAACAACAGACAAAAATCTGCAGAGCAGCGAAGGATACATTGACAGCAAAATTTGTTTAAGAATATTCCCGCCAACCTGTACGTGCTCTTTAAACGTCGACTGCAAATCTGTTATCATTCATTTCCTTGATTGTCACATATTAAACAACTTGTAGGTTGCCACCCCCTTCTACAATTACAAGGGCCAAGATTGTCAGCTTGCTTTCGAAGAAGATGCCTTGACTTCAACAGTGGTTTGATTTCTGAATATTGATTGTTTAGCTTGTTAAGTTCTCTTATGTTTTCCGCATTTTTAGCCGTATAATGAAGAGTTGATGTTGTTACTACAGTTACAAAGGTGCAAAACACATCCTTTCCTTACAGTGGCGTACCGAGGGGGGGGGGGCGGGGGGGGGGGGGGGGGCGCGCGAAATTTTTGAAAGTTACTTACATGAGTTATAAAAATGTGCAAATGATTTGTTTATTTTTGTAAACAATTAAAATAATTTTTAAAATTTTTTAAAAATTCAAATTAGCCTTATAAAAAAAATTTTTTCGGGGGCGTGGCTGACGTCACGCCCCCTTTTTCCAGATTTTAGGGGTTGGGGGCCCGCAAAATTGTTGAGAAGCCCCCCTAAAATTTTTTCGGAGTGCGTGGCTAACGCCACGCACCTTCATTTGAAAAGTTTTTTTGCCGCGCCCCCCCCCCCCGAGCCGAAATCCTGGGTACGCCACTGTTTCCTTATGGAGTAATGGGTGAGGCCGATGTGCATTTTCTTGTTGTCTGCCTAGAACTTAGCATGCAAATATCTTGCTGAAGCGGTCCTCTCTATTCTTATACACATTGTGAACTTTAAGAGAAGAAAATTTCTAGTTTAAAATAACTGAACATTGGCAAAGTAGTCTTGTTTTTGCATATGGGAAATTTTAATCGTTATGATGTTTGTAAGCCATTGATTTTTTTAATCTTAATAATAAAATCTTTATTATTAATAGCATATTCACCTAAAACTCAAGTGAAAGTGAAAGGTCTTGTTTCATATGGAAAACAATATATTATATCAGCATCAGAACTTCTCCATGAGATCTTCACTTTTCATGTTAGCTTTTTTCTCTGGTAATGCCGCCGCTACCTAAAAAGTATGACGATTATTTTCTGATTTTAAATTTGTATCAAAAGTATAATTTACTTTATGACCCGTCCATTCTGCTGCTTCACCCTTTGCAACGAACACAAATGGAGCGTTGACTGCGATTACGATAGCGCTCAATCCAAGGAACAAACGACTCCACTAAAATTACAATGTATTTTTAAAGGACGTCAAATTCTATCTGAGGTATACCTGTTCGGGAGTGTTATCCGGACATACAAAATTTATAGCTACAGGTATAAAAAGAACATTGAAGGAGGTTAAAAATGAGATCACTGACATCACAAAATGTGAATATTGTCCTGCTACCTGCAAAGAAATAATAAGGTAAAAAATTTTTGATTTTGATCTACTGGGAATTGAGGAAAAAGACCTACCACTTGTGCACATTTAATAATTCCTACTACATTGATACCACTGAATACGATTGCTGCTGTGTAGATACTTTGAGCTATTCGAGCTTCTCTGAGCTGAAATAGAGATATTTGACTTTTAAAAAATTTACTGAAACAAAATTAAATCCTGTTTCTTTTTTACTTCCACGACTCTCAATTTTTTCAGAGGAAATTATCACAAAAATTTCTGTGATTCAGTAAAATATTCTCAGTTTTCGTTCTCTAGGATAAAAAATACTCACATTTGCAAGTGTAACTATACATATGGCCATCATTCCTTGTGATAATGCGGCAAAGAAAATAAATCGCCATTTTCCAGAAATGCATGTGGCTTTGTCAGATACTGGACCTATTACAAATTTTACTATAGCCGAGAGTATATGAGGCAAAGCGGTGGCGAATCCTGTCGAGGCGATGCCTAAGTGAAGAACCTGAAAAATTTGGCAATTGAGAGATTTCCAATTTTTGCTGGGAGATTACTGTAGCATACCTTATTAATATAAGTAGGGCCATACATCAAAAAAATTTGAAATGCAAGATTTCCGCCCATAACCGAAAACCATACGCCGAGTATACATGGATCAGTAAAGATGGCTCTAAAATAAATTATATCGGTTAGGGTACGCTTTTTTTTTGTTGAAATCAAACCTATAAGGGATTCGTTGCTCCTTTTCATAACTTTTTCCATAGGAAATTTTCGCTAGTTCTTTGGGACCAACATTTCTGAAAAGAAGTTGTTGAAAAGTTGTGGCAAGTTATGAATTGTGAAAGTGCTTACTTATGGTCTGCCGGATCATCTGTGTAGAAAAAGTGATAAGTGAGAAATATCAATGCTGAGAGTAGCCCCTGTAACAAAATTATGTTAATCCTTAAATTTTCTGGTAGAAAAAGATGGTTTTTCACACCTGTAGATAAAAAACAGCTGGCCATCCGAATCGACTTTCACACAAAAACCCAGAGACTGGCATAGTAAGAATGTTGCAGAACTGAAAAAAGTACACTTTTGCTGCCAAAACCGTGCGCGAGTCGCGAAAATATACCTGCACATGACATGACAAGATAGCGATGAATGTGCCAGTAGCTTTCAATGTCGACCATTGGGCTGGGGCAATACCAGTCATAGGAAATGATAGAGCAGTGCCTACACCCTAAAAAATTTCCATGAAGGTCGAGTTCCCTTTTTTTCTATGTTTGAACAGCTTACTTGTAATACTCGCATAATAAATACGGCTGTAAATCCATATCTAACCGCAAAAGGAAAAAACAATGTTGCAATTGTTGTTAGTAAACCGTTAATTGCTACAGCCGCACTGAAAACAAATTTGGGTTGATTTTGTTTTCTTGGCGGGACCATGAGGATCTGAATTTAGGAATAGAGCTTACCGTAATCCGAGTTTTTGAATGAGTAACGAGTTTGGCACAGTGCCAAGAATGCAGCCTATTGCAATAGCCGAGAACAGCGAGTTCTTGTGTTTACTAGAGTCCAACCAGTGTACTGTAAAGTCGCAATTTTAAACGCGAGGAATTCAGGTAAAATATTGATTTTTGAAGATTAAAATTCTCAGGCACGCAGATGTAATATGTACTATTTTCGCATAAAGACTCTGTAACACTTACATCTAGAAAATTTCTGTATGAAGAAATTTTATTTTTAGAAAATTTTTGTCCGAACCTTCCTCTTGTTTTTATTTTTTTCATTTTCGTTTTTAAATACTCTTTGTTCTAATTTATATTGCAAACTTTTGTGATTTTTCATATTTTGAGTTTCTATTATATAACTTTTATATCTTTTTTTGTGAAAGGATATCTCGACTACTATTAGTTCCGAATTTTATTCTAATGATTTCGTCGTTTTTTTTCTTTCCTTTTTTTCAAATTTACTACTATCTCTAACTCTATGTAAGGACTTTTGATGCGCACATTTCGATTGCTTTGAGCAAACCCTAATGTTTCTGATGTCTGGCGACCTAATTTTTAATTTTAAAAAAACTCGAACGAATTTCAACTCTGTTTGAGATGTGACATCTGTTTGTTCAGTGGAATACCTCAAATGCTGCTACAAAATTCAATGGAATTCATAATTCATATTGCAAATTTTCTATTCTAAATAGGATCATAAACACACGAATTGGGATGTTTCGAAGCGAAGTTTTGAGAAATGGTGCGCAAGAACTTTTGTGCCAATTTAATTTTCAATAGACTGACCTTCGGTAGTATTGTTGTTCTGACGATAATAGTCCGTCTTGACATCGTCCATACAGATGATCGTAAAATTCAGTGCTAGACTGTTCGAGAAGATCAACGTCAAGCAAGCCAAGCTCAACGCAAGGACTATGTATCGTGTTCGACCGGCGAAATACATCTGCAAGTAGTGGTTCTGTAGACGATTGTTACTAGAAGAAGGCGTTTTGGATGATTCATCTCACTGTACGAGAACTCATCCCGAACATAAGGAATGGCTGACACTATTACTGGAAGAGAGTGATTTTCGTATTACTTGGGTTTTATGAGAAAAGGAAATCCCTCTCAAAGCTAACGTCTAGCGCCTTAGCGAACTTGTTGTGAAGCGATTAATCGTGGGTGGATGTTTATTTCTTATGTTTTCATTAGAGAAGTGGATGCGATCAGTGGTTTCCTGAAAGCATACGTCTAGAAGTCTTTTCTTAGAAATTTGGAAAATCCAGCTATTCGATTATATCTTTTTTCACTAGCTCTTTGATTTGGAAATGCATCTCACTGTTTCATCAGTAACTGTGCATAATTTTTTGAATTTTCCTAACCACCGATTCTGCTTCAATCTTTACTTTTTACAGCGTCAACAATTATTGATTTCTTGATTTTATATTCTATATTATTTTAGAGAGTATGGAAAGACCTGTTAAGATGAAAAACTGTTATTATACAGGGTGTCCCAAAATAATGTGCACACTGTTTGATTTTGGATAACTCTTTTGTATCGATGTTTCTTGCGGATCTCAAGGTACCATATAAAAGGGCTAAGACTAACTTAGATTTTCAGTATATGGCGAATCAGCGATCTCGACTCATTACTGTAGGATTATGGTAGAAATTTCGGAGTGGTTTTTGGGCCTTTGACGGGCAAAAAAGGCGTTGAAAAAATTCTTAGAAAATTGGAATAGGCACATTGAGGTTTCTACGGTAGGTTACGGTAGAGGTTGATGTCGCAATAAGATTCTGCATCCCCGGGAACCTTAATGTGCCTATTCCAATTTCCTAAGAATTTTTACGCTTTTTTTGCCCGTCAAAGGCCCAAAAAACAGCCCAAAATTCCTACCGTAGTCCTACAGTAATGAGTGGAGATCGCTGATTCGTCATATACTTTAAATCTAAGTTAGTTGGGATCCGCAAGAAACACCGATACAAAAGGGTTATTCAAAATCAAACAGTGTGCACATTATTTTGGGACACCCTGTATATGTTACATCAATAATCAAAGGAAATGGCTTGTAAACCTCAAAAATCATAAAATATGTGATAGCAACTAGTTTATTATCTCTTTTTATCTCAGTTATACTGTTTCGTTGAAGGTGTCAATGGCTGACTGATCGAATGATGTAGTATCAAGGGTTTTCTAATGAAAAAGAAGGAACGGTGTAGGAAAGGGGTCAGTGGGAATGACTAATATATTTATTTGAGCCTTTCTCATACAAATTCTAGCTTGAAAAGTCGTATAGCCTCTTAAGGCTCTAAATTCAGACAAGAAATTTAATTTCAAGATTCTATAATTGGACAACAAGATTGAATATTGAGTTCACATAAACAATCAGCAACATTGAGTAGAGTTTTTTGACAAAAGATTTTTAGTTTTTTTTGTTTCACTGATTCAAAAGTTCACTTACTATCAAATTACCGTTATCTTTGTTATGTAAATGGTTCCCAGGAGATCTGAGCGATTAATATTTCCCTGAAAAATCTCCCCAACACCCCTTTGCTTCCCTTGCTCTGTGATACAGCTTCCGCTCAGACATGTTGTGATCGACGATCTCGCGCTCCCTTTCAACAACACCTGCCCTTTGGGTGCTTCTGGGGTACGTCTCGAAATAGCTAAAAGTGCGAAGACTAGTAGTAAATTAGTTCCTTGTTGATGGAAAAGGGGGGCGAAGTCTCTTGGGAAGGGTTTTCTAGGAAATTGCGGCGGATTTATCCAAAAACAAGTAATCTTGTAAAGAAATCTTAGTTCAAAACAGGAAGAAGCATAAAGTCGTTTTTGCTGCGGTGAAAAAAGCTCTATCTGGAAATAACCTCTAATAACAATTTTTACTCCTTATATTCACCTCTGTATATCACTGAGGCTAAATAAACTACAAATTTTGACCTTTGTGTTGCTCGTTGATACATTTCCGATTCATAACAAGTAACCTTATGGTAGGAAAACCTCTGAAAGCTTTTGTGCAAATATGTTTTACTCGAAAGTACTTACATGAAAATGCACAACTTGTAGGGCATCCAGATTATGGATGGCAAAAATGCTTTCTGGTCAACTAAATGTAAAGTGAGAGAGTGATTTGTGAGACGTTGAAGGGTGAAATGAATTTTTAGAAAGCTATGAAATATTTGCTAAAATCCAAAATTACTTTTTTGATGTGGTACTTAGGAAACCACTATTTTTTGATGAGAATAATAAAAGCTGGAAAAAGGCCCTTAGCTTAGTGCAAACGCATTGCTAAGCACTTTTTTGAGGGGAGAGGGGTGAGGGGCAGCTTGGAAATTCGAAATGAAATGGGAAATTTGCTAGGGTAGAAGATGAAAGCATAGAATGGGCAGTGTCTCAACGACAAAGAAAACAAATAAACAGCACTGATATGAGAAGAAAAGCTCAAATGTGTGACATGACTATGTCTGATTTGAGATCAATGATTTTTGGAACTGAAAAAATTAAAAAAATAAAAATGGTAGACAGGTTATAGTCAATAGCATATGTAACTTAAGGGTCAATAGAATCAAGTGTAATAATACCAATCATTAGAAAAGAAGTTGTTATTCTTGCCTTATAGGGAAGTGTAAGCAGTAACACCAGCAGGGTAAAGTTCGGAGGGGGGGGGGGGGAACAGGTATAGTGGTTTGGGAGATTAAAGGATCCAGGGAAGTTTCGGGAAATTTCTAGGAAGCACGATTTATCCCCATTTGCCTTTCAAAAGCCAGCTGCACATTCCTAAGGTTTAGAGCCTTCAAAGGCGGGGGGAGGAGGGGGGGGGGACGAAAAAAATAAATGTGGAATGGCCAGAAATAGATCACCGCATGGTCAGGCATAGCAGTAATTAAGGTCCACTGATCCCCCCCCCCCCCCAGCTGGCTGTGTATCAATTTTTGTCAGCTGAGAGATGCAATAACATCCAGAGTAGTATAAGCAATCGACTGTTATACTGATAGACAATTTTTACGCCATAGTGATAGCGCCAAAGCGCAATTTTTTTAATACCTGAACTGTTAAACCGTTTCGCCCGGGCATATGATTTACTCGGGTATGTGAAATTTGCATCGAAAATCATCTAATCGCCTAAAATTTCAACGACATTCTAAAAGATGATGTTCCTCGTACGAAGATCTTTAGAACAAACATACCTCATGACAGCAAATCTGTTGTTCGAGAAGGTTTCAGTACTTCAGCTTCTGATCAAATATGCGAGAAATGATGCACTTTTGTTGAGACATAAGGTGGAGAGCAAAAAAAACGCAATAACAAAAAGTGCCCTTGGGACAGGAAGCTTCCAGACAAGCGGTAAATATCTCTTAGGCATATAGATTTAAGTAAAGTATGTCTAGAATAATTATTACGCTTTGTTAAACCGAAATTTCATTAGTAAAGACATCTAAATGAAACAAAAAGACAAAGTCCAAACCAGCTAAGAACTTATCATTCAGAGATCATCTTCATCATATAAGTAAGAAAAAATAGGGTAAACAAAAAAATTGTCACATCGAAGATTAGTTCAAAAATCATCTGTCTACTTACGATTAGAAGCACGTCATAGTGGGTCGTGCAGGAGCTGTTTTTGGAGATTGACTTAGCTAAAATAGGTAATGAGCAGAATTTGGTTGAAATGCCTGGAAAGCATAACTCTAGAGAGACAAAATGTAAAATTTTAATTTTGTCTTTTTTGGATAAAATCCGATAATATTTTCATACATATCTTCTAGATTCATGGGCCACCGCTGGGTCTTTAGTTAGCCCTTTCTATTTCAAAATATCTTGCAAAAAAAGCTATTCTTTTATTCTTGTATCTGCCTATCAAAATTCTTAAAATGAAAGATAAAAGTCAAGTTTGCTACTCTACGAAATAAAAAATGACCGCAAACATTTTATCTCCACAAATTTTTTGAAATCTATTCTATATCTTTCTGCATATTTCGAAAAATAGCGAACACATTTTTTGGCGAAATTTGAAATTAGTTGCGGGTACTATTCATTTGGGAGCACTTTTTCTCAAACTTTTTTCGAGGGCATATCTGGAAGACGTGAAATCAAACTTATTTTTTATGACCCTTATCAGATTTAGGATTTAGGATCATTTATTTATAGGATTAGGATTTATCAGATTTATCTGTTTAGGGTCAAAACTTGCAATCGTCGCACTAAATTTTTATAAATTAATAGCTTGTTTCAGATTATTTATATCAGTTGACATTCAAATTTTCTAGCACGCAGAATCAAAAATAGGTGTATAAGTGAGGTATGCAAATTCAGAGCAAATGTTCATTGCTGTTGCAAACCGAGATTAAAAAAACTTCCTGACAACGATCTATGTTCTCGTTATCAATTGTACTCTTGCTATACGAAAATCATACGAGATTTTCTTTTCAACCTCAAATTTGAACTATTTCTATGCTTTGTTTGATTAGTAACTTTTTATGGAGTGATGGCAAAGTGCAAAGCATGGAATGACTATAGCTTTGATTTCCATGAAAATAACAAGATAAATAAAAAATAAAATAAAAAATAGAAGTGGGAAGATTCTTGAAGACATGCAGGACTGCGAAAGAAATGGGACGTTCTTCGACTGAAAAGCATGCAAAGTGCAGCTGTCAGCCCTTTTTCCTCACTGGATAGAGGATGTTGATGTCATTTGCATGCAGAACTCAGTCGATGATGCACGATAAGAGTTTATCGAACATTTTGATGAAATTTGTCATTAGCACATAGAGTATATACGGCTCACAAGATGTGCAGAAATTCCGTAAATGTCGCGTAATTCCGGGAATTCCGCGGAGGTCCTCAACATTCCCGGAATTCCGCGAAATTCACGAAAATTCTGCACTTTCTGTAAGCGGTGTATGTCCGCAATGAAGAAACAAATCGTACGAAATATTAGGTTGTTGAGGTTTCGTTACACTTTGTTTGTCTTCCTCTGAAAAAAACTCTAGAAAATTCATCAAAATCTCACGTCTGGCATAATGTGTGTAAAGGGTGAAGGGCTATTCATCTGCATCATCTTCACTTTCACGGACATAACTCACATTGAATTTGAAGGCAGCTCTATGCACCTCAGTTTTTTTTTTGGTTTTTCAAGTTCTTTTTCGTTTTCTTTGATTTTTTACGGATTTTCGCAAGATTCAATAGTCATGCAAAGGCAGACGGATGTCAAAGTTCTTCAAAAACGCAAGTTGGCAAATCAAAAATGACATGGGAAAATTCTGAAAATGCAAAAATTGTACAAAGCTTAACATGTATTTGGAAAATCCACAACTTTTCACATAGTTTCAAAATAATGTAAAATTTATGTGACAATGTGAAAAAAAGAGATGAATGTTTTTCCATTTTTCTGCTTTGAAAGAATATGTAATAAGGAAATTATTTAGCTACTCGAAAATTTAGATTAATTTTTGTTTATCGATTTACACTTCTAAATCGCAAACTTTATTTCTGTCTCTCATCATCTTCATCTCCCTCCCACTCGAATAACCCCCTTGGACGATTATAGCACTTTCAAACAGTTTCTAGATTTTGTTTCCTGTTTAATTTAGAGATTCTTGGGGATTTTTTTGTGCTGATTCAGAGTGTATTTTTGGCGGTTATCTGTGAAACAGAACACTTCCCAACAAAAACCTCTGTGAATAAAGATAGTTTCTGATGTCTTCCTCGATTAGCTCGAATGAGTTGTTTACCGATTTTCTATCGAGAAATATGAGTAGCAGATGTTTGAGCCTGAGCCTCTTCAGTGAATGACGGAGATGTGAAGGCAATGACATAAATCAAAGTTGTTGACACAAGTTGTATGCATATCTTAGCAAGAAGATACTGAGTTTAGTGATAACCTTCTAAAAATTGCTAATGGAAATAGTAATAGAAATAGAGATTGAGGAAATAGAAATTTTGTATATGAAAAAGTGGTACTATGTCAACAATATGTATTTTAAAATTCAAATTCATGAAAAGTCTATCATAACTCCTTTTGTTGGCTCTCAAATTTGATGAAGTTAGTATGTGACTAATAATTTCATGAAACACTGGAATTTGGGGCTTTTGCTGTAAAGCTGCTAAACCTAAGGTAAGCAAACCGCTGAACTTGGTACTTGAAGTTTCCAGGAAATGAATTTTTTCATCCAAAAGCTTAGTGAACGATAAAAAGCACCATCAGTCATCCCTTACTAGTGAATTATGAAAATATGAGGAATCTGCAATTACAAAATCCCAGCAGGTGGAGAAAAATTCATGGAGGCAGGAAGTTAAGTTTACGTCAAAAAGCGAAGTGACTAACCTCAAACAAGGTCTCAAAGACTACCTACATGGTTAACAAAGTGCAGGTTCAAATGAAAATCAGGGCAAGAGATTTGTCTATGACGGAGTGTCGCGTTTGCAGATTTTCATCAAAATGCAAAATGGTCGAGTTAAAATAAGTGCTCAAACATCACTTTGGCTAAAAATACTCAGGTTCAGTTATAGGTGGTCTTTGAATAAAAGCGGAATGTCTTTTCAGATTTCCTACACAAGTCGACTTGGAAGTATTATTTCTTGACTAAATGCTTATATTCCAATTTCTGAAAGCCAAAGCTTTGTGATAGAAATCTTAACTATTGAGCAGTTTCTATTGATTTTGATGGTCCCAAAACTATTAAACTAACCTATGTGACTTCGCTATGTACCATTCTAATGATGATGCAACCGCATTTGGTTAAGTTAGTAATAAAAATGAGAAATACACTGTTTACCTGCTTTCCCGATGTAGGGCGATCGGATCCGAGCAACGACTCCATTTTCCACCGCTACAGTTCTAGGAGTATACCTGAAATTCCTAACTTTATATTGATAAGTGATAGATTTGCACATAGAATCAATCCTCGCCGAGTACCATCACTTAGGCAGGTGCTAATAGCATGGCGACGATCGATATGCATCAAATACGTGTAAAACCAGCGATTTTTGTCGCCGATATTGGCGATCGCCAGTCGCTACGACGGGCGATCGCCAGTCGCTACGACGGGCGATCGCCAGTCGCTACGACTGGCGATCGCCAATCGCCAAACAAATTACCGTTAAGTGTTGAACGTGAAAATCACTGATCTTGCGGTTCATTCTTTTTAGGGCGACCACACCGGCTGGTGAGTACTTTGAAATGGAAGTGGGAAATGAGTAATGATCGCCAATATCGGCGACTACACTTTTGATACGTATCGATTAGCGACTGGCGATCGCCCGTCGCCATGCTATACTCCTCGAGGAGTATAGCGCCTGCCTTATCCTCACGTCATTTGTAACTTGATATGTGAGTCTGCACACTATGCGCGGTAGTCGACGACACTGTTACAAGTAACGCCTCAGTAGAACCTTTCCTAGCGTAACAAACTGTAGAAAGGTGTACCATTGGATGATACATATTCAATCAAATAAAAGAGACAAGAAAACGAACAGAAATCACTGGAAATGAGCAGGTTCTGACCTTACAAGTCGTCAAGTATTGCGCTTTGTGTGCAATGCGCATATTAAATTACAAATGACTCGACGATAACTAATTCGACGGTAATTTGTTGAAATAAAAATCAGCAAATTCATTACAGACTGTGCCCGATTGACTCTAATTACTCTTTCGCTTTATTAAAATTCCACTATTTGCACAGCTGTCCCAGCAAAGACTACGTCATAAGTTCTGTTATTCATTACCGCTACAGACATTTCCATAGACCACAAACCACATATGAGATCAACTTCACATGGAAATATGATTTTCTAAAATTGTTTTGTGTAAATTTCGTTATTTCTGTCTGGAACCTCTCACAATCAGTAAAGCCGCCAATTTCATGGGTTTAAGTAAAGCCTCCATTTTCGAAGGATACTGTAGACGGAAGCACGATTGGCACAAGTTTCATTAGCCTCGTATTGTTTGCCTTTATCAGAGTGTAATCAAAGAGCAGATGGTCTTGTTACTTGTGCGAGAGAAGAAACAAAAAACTGGACTATTTTCGTCCTAGACTTAAGGGCACAATTTTTGATTATTGATGTAGGTGTAAATATCTACAATGAAATTGAAATCCCGTTAGCATAAACTATACTCCAGAAAACCTCATTTTTGAAATTTTGGCTTAATTTATTACGGAAATTAAACTGAAAACTATGATTTTATAGCTAATAGGTTGAGAATAGCATGAAAAGGAAACCATAAGAAAAGCGGATTTGCCGTAGATTGAAACCCATAAAACATGTGGTGCATTTCTATAATTACATCTTGCTCCAAAACCTCAATAAAAGCAACTCATTTTCCTTCTTTTTTATTCTGGGTCGACCCTCGCTTAGTTTGCAAACTTCAGCCTATTAGAGACAGAATTATAACTGCAGGAGATGAATTGAGTGATTTTTCAAGTAATGAATATAACGAGCTATATTGACTGAGAAATGCACAAATCGCACCCCTAAAAAACTGGAGTCGCAGACTATGAAAATCAATTTCTTGCTCTTTGTAGTTATAGAGTCATTATTGACCTCTACAAACATTACTGAGGTCATGTGCAGCGAAAACCATCAAAAACTGATTTTTTGAGCTCAAAAATAACGAATGCGAATGAATTTGTGCGAATTCATTGCGAAAAAGAAAACGTGAAAAAATGAAGCAGATTGGCCTTTTCAAGTGTTGCGGTTGCCCAAGCTTTTTGGAGAGAATTCCCCAGAGTTAAAAGAATTCACTCGATGTCAGACTGTCAATCGGGTTCGCCTCCAATTTCTGGTGCGGGTTTCACAATTTCTTGAATTCTATAACAAAAGTCAAGTATACAAGAGCCTCAGTTAGTGTTAGTAAACTTTTACTTCAAAAGATGATTATAAAAAAAATCCAAAAAGTTTTGCTATAGTATCTTGCACAAACTTATTCAGAAAATGATTTCCAGCAGCAATAATGTACTGATGAGAAGGAAATGAAACTTTGCTAACTCAAAACTAAAGAAATGTGGTCTGTTTTGATTTTATAGTGCCTGTAACATAAAATAGCCGAATACTAGATCGCAGAAAGTGAGGGGAAAACTGATTCATCTAAATGCAGGTTTGAAAAGCAATAAAAGCGACATAAAATGTTAATTGTATTCAGCGAGATCTAGCGTTCAGTGGAAAGAAAATGTGACCTAACTGAACCATCGGAACATTTCTCTCTTCTTTGAAAAGCAGAGATTTTATGAAAAAAATTTTGAGCTTAAGTTTCTTGACAGAGAAGCACGGATGTATGCATCCAATGAAAAAAAAAACTACGATCAATTCATGGGGTAAACAAAATTGAGCCTGTGACTGCCGCCGGGTGCGAAGCAAGTGCGAAAATGTCCCGAGCTTGTGTATCGAGCTGACATGAAGCTGCTACCCCGCCCAGGAGGGCGCACTTACCCTAACAACCACAAATGAAAGTGTTTAGTGAAAAACAGGCAAACAGGTACTTTTTGCAAGAATAACAAAATGAATAAAACTTTATTATTCTCTCTTTGTGGAATATTACTGGAATTAATAATAATTCTTCAGGAAACGAGCGCAGCAGCGTTATGAGTCGTGTTATGAGACCAGCGATCAAAACTCGGTGTCCACCCCCTCCCTACCTTTGTGTCAACGACGCTATTGCTTTTTCCAGGACAGTAAATTTCTATGGGAGTGTATTATAAAAATTGGGCAATAGTAGTGATTTTTTGAACTCCCCAAACTGCTGTACAAATTCGGTGGCCTTCTTCGCTAACAATAGTGAATGGCGTTTGGCACGTGCCAGAACTATGCTGAAGAAGCCGGATCCCTGCTAATTCTTGTTTTCGCCGTTGATAATATCATTCATTCTATGACTAGGAGACGCGAGACCACATTGCACACACTGTCTAAACAAGCTTAATCGCGTACTTAGCAGGTCTATACTTGTCAATTATCTCGTTTAGGTTTATCCACTCTTTGGAACAGGGAAGAAAAACTCAAACATGTTAAGACAGTGTCCGCAATGCGGTCACGCGTCTCCTGGTCTTATATATAAAGAATCGTTCGCTCAGTTAAAAAATCTTCCAATAGCGGAAAAACCGCAGTGCGGTCCCGAAGCGCGCGCATGCTGCTAGCACCTTCAATTACGGTTCACTGGTCATACAGTCTGCCCCAATCCTAACCAAGCCAAAATTGGCTTGGCGGGATTGCGCGGAGGGTTTCGCGCCACTTCTGCGTCTAGCTAGTCTGCTCTCTCCTCAATCTCTTCGCTCTCTGCGACAGCGCGCGTATGCAGCGCAAACCCCTAGCGCTGCGAGCGCGCAAATTCAGCCGACGGTTCGGCCTGATCCCGATTGGGGCAGACTGTAGAATAGAGATCCTAATTTTCGTCATTGATAATCACGGGTCTCTCGTTTTTACTCTCTTCTTCACGGATAACTACCTTCCACAACTGAGCGTTCATAAGGCGGTGTCCAGAGTCGCCCATGTGCCGGTGATGCCAACGCCGTGCCGGAACTCACGTGCATTCACGCCGTATTGATCGACCAACATTCTGGCACGGCGCCAGAAAGTTCTGGCATGACGCTGGAGCAACTCTATACTCAGCCGAAGTGTACAGCCAGCGTACTTTGGAGCTCCAAAAATCACGCATAGATTAGCAAATTCCTTACAAAAAGAAGGGAATTTCTAGCGATGCTTTGTGGTCGGAAACCCGCTAACCATTTCCACCTTGCTGCACATTCATCGGCAATAGTCGAAGGTTTTCATTTACTATTCAATTCAGTCAGAACAGGAATAAAGAGGAACATTGGATCTGAACTTTGCTTCCTAATCGCTTTGAAAAGGATGCAAGAAATGCAAGTTAGAAATTATATTTTACCTATTCCAGAAAGTGATTACGACCGGGTAACTAGAACAGGCATATTCAGAATGTTTTCTGTGACTCACATCTTCGGCGGAATATTTGAGTGATACTAATTGAAGTCCTGATAGTTAGAATGCCTAATGTCTCAAATTCCTCAAGTCCTCGAAAATCTCGTAATTCTGGTCCGTAAATGAAATCTATCTTTTTTTGAAAGCGTACTGAAAAACAAACAATCACATGTGAAGCAATATCCAATTGTTTTGCTGAGTACTTGAAGCAAATCCAAGCAAAATTTTGATTTGTTCTTTATTCGTTTCTTCTCGCCTGAGTATAATCTCTTCTAACAATATGAATCACTGTACCATCGTTCTGTAATCACCCGCACTTTTTATGGGTCTTACTGCGCAGTGTAAGTGGGTTTAGCGAGCTTCAAGTTAGAAGCGCTGAAGTCTACTTCTGTAAGAATTAAGTATAGGAAATGCCCTTTCTGAGGGGCATCACCAGCCAGCCATAATATAAGCGGGACGAAATTGAAATAAATCTGTCCTGCAGTCACTGTTTTAAACACATTCACGACAAATATGACCCATCGGTGAGTCTTAAGTGTCCCCCCATTTCAGACAATGTGGGTCGTATGCTCGTTTTGCCGGTTTATGATGAAACTTTTGAGCAAATTGAACAAACTCCCGTACACATCTCTTGTAATACTTCCCAAAAGATTATCTTAGACCATAAGACCCATCAGTGCCCAGGAAATATGCTCAGATAGAGCCGTCAGACGTCAGTAATATTGGGTGATTATTGATTTTTCGGTATAAAGTTGTTGTTTATATTCTTTAGCTTTTTCTTCCCAATGTAGTTTACTCGTTTTAGTATTCTTGGAAAGGAGATTATGCGACTTCTCAACATTCCAGCATAGATCTCTAAATTGTAGCGCCTAGGATCATATTTCTGTTTTTCTTTCTCGTGTTCTGAAGTTCTTTAGACCTTTGCGCTTTTGGAACTCTCGCTTGCTCAAGATCCTACCTATGCGCGCATTGTTGTGTTTATGTTTATTCTTACCTTTAGCTCTTCTTTAGCTCAGAACCCCGCAATAGACCGATAAAGCGGCGGTTACAACCCCGCTCTCAAATCAAAAGTGAGTACGTCGTACCGAACGTAGACCCAGTCATAGCGGCCTTACCGATCACGACGATATATTCTTTGGCACGCTACATATCGATGTACGAGCAGGAAAGGAACCTGATAAAAGAAATTTTCTCATAAAGGACAAGAAATATACTTTCATCACGACGTCAGGAGTCCAAAAGGCTTATGTATTTTTTAAGAGGCATGTGCTGAGGCCGGATTTGACCCCCGGCCTCAGCACTCAGGTGATCGATTTGCGCGCCAAAGTTACCCATTTAAGGCGCCGGTGAAGGGGCTATGGACAGCCATCGACATTCAGCTACGACTCGGATCTACCACATTCTACTGTATGCCATCTCTTCACTTTGTCGTATTCTATCACGTTAGTCGCCTCTGTTTAGTTTTTTTTTTGCCTCATTTATTCGATACTCCGGCTCCAGGAGTGAGTTTTGGCATATCCTCTTAATGTTGAAATGTTGCAAATTTCCTGTCTTGGAGCTGTTTTGTTATTTGAATTTTAATGTTGTTCGTTCCGGTTTCTAAGTTAGATCAATCCTAGTGCCCATATGATACGGTTGCTCATTATCGATACTCATACTTATGAAGTTCTACGATCCTCAGGTTATTCACTCAATACTGGAATGTTGTTGGTACTGCCACAAGGATTTGCCCACTATAGACACGCAGTGAGATTTGGCGAAACTACGATGATATACATTTACGAAGAACTACCCAACATCAGCTGTAAGCTGAAGGAGATTCAGGAACCGCAAAATATAATTTTCATTGGTCCGACTAAGAAGGAAATCCCACCAGAAGGCGAATGGATGCGTCTCACCATGGCTTTTACAAACATCGTACTTGGAGGATCAAAAGTAATTGCGATTTCACCGCCTCGTGGCGAAAGCGAATGGGAGGTCACCAGAATGAAGACCATCGAAATGATGAGCACAGTGAGAAGAGTAAGTCAGAACGTATGAACTTCCTAGGCGTAAATCACGGTGTTTTGACGTAATCGCATTTGTTTTCTCTTGGGTTGTTTCAAACTGCCGCACTGACCGCAGCAGACTGCAGCTGACTGCACTGACCGCAGCTGACCGCATTGACCGCGGGGCCGAACAGATCGCTACATCCTTTTGTGAAGGTGAAGAAGATGAATAGTTGTAGCTCAAACAGTCTCTTAACAATACATAGATAACACCCGATAGACAACACGAGCGGGAGTAAAATAGGTGTACTCAATGACAAAAGGAATTTGAACAAATATGAGCATATTAAAGAAGAACAATCGCCAAAATTTGATTAGAAGAGTAAGTTAGAACCTATCAACTTTCTAGACTTGAATCATGGTGTTTTTGATGTATTCGCAACTATTTTCTCTTCTACGAAGGATGCAGCGATTGTGCGGCCGTTGCGGTCAGTACGGTCAGCTGCAGTCTGCTGCAGTCTGCTGCAGTCTGCTGCAGTCTGCTGCAGTCAGTGCGGCAGTATAAAACAACCCCTTGTAAGAAAGGATGCAGCAATCTGTGCGGTCGTTGCGGTCAGTGCGGTCAGCTGCAGTCTGCTGCAGTCTGCTGCGGTCAGTGCAGTCAGCTGCAGTCAGTGCGGCAGTATGAAACAACCATTGAGCCGATAACGAAAGTCGAGAAACCCAGGGAAAACATCAACACGACAATCAGAATGTCAGATGAGTTTCATTTTGGAAGTGGATTCGAACGTGTCCACGAGTCCTTCACATGTGGAAGAGGACCTCGATTCTTTGGACATGGACGCAGACGCAGCTACGGATTCACTCGAGCAAGACCAAGCCATGGACACCACTACGCACCTTACTGAGTATCCAGTGTCGGGACGCCACTTGTTCCAGGGGAGGACGTGTAGCGCCTAGGATCATATTCTTGTTCTTCTTTCTCGTGTTCTGAAGTTCTTTAGACTTTTGCGCGTTTGAAACTCTCGCTTGCTCAAGATCCTACCTATGCGCGCCTTGTTGTGTTTATGTTTATTCTTACCTCTATTTTGTTAATGTTGTGTCGTAGATCATTGTCGCGCACGCCATGCCGTCCTAGTGATCTCACGGTTCGCATACTCCACTGTCGGTTCTCATTTTTTTGTCACTCGCCACGATTTCTTTTAGTTGTTCCTTCTGTTGTTATTGTTGCCGATAAACGGCTGTTTTCTGGCTGTCTTTGGAGGGAATTGCGGTTTCTAACCGCATCATACTTTTTTGGACGTCGTGTGCCACTAAATAGCTCAAGAATTAAGGCTTCTGAATTCATCCAGATAATGCCTTTCTTGGTTTCAATTACTGATTTCTTTCAGAAATCATAGAACAGATCGGATCCAAATGGAACATTTGACATTCTTGAACAGATGGTAGCATTTTAGTTCTTGTGTACGTCTGCACTTGAATGCGATCTCATACTTCAAAAAATAAATTCTAAACATACTTACAGCTCAATTTATTACCTGATTTGCAGGTAAAGAGCTTTTCTGTATGCGTGTAAATAAAAATCACCGAAATGTTTTATTTGGAAAACAGAATAGCACAATCTATTGAAAATGCTTTAACGAATGCAGTGTAAGTATAGATCACATTCAAAAAATCACAGCATATTAAATCATAAGAAGATTTGCCTAGTTCAAATATGAGCGCACTGTTTCTTCAACCATTCCACTTCTTTTGTTTTATTGGCTTTCTGTAGAAAATCACCCGTTGTTGCCAATACTGTGTCATGGTATGCATTGAGCCATTCAATCTGAAATGAGAAGTTCATGGAAAATTTTGGGAATTTGTGGGAAAAAAGAAAATGCTAATAGAATATTTTTTGCATTGACTCACCTCTTTGGCAGTGAGCATCGTCTTATCAATGAGACTAGTTTGTATCGGTACCAGAGTTAATGTTTTGAAACCAAGAAAATCTGCTCCAGATGGCACAGTCGCCTTCACAACCTACAAATTTTGGAACCTGAGGCGGTTACACAAGTGGATTTTGAACAAAAATCAAGAAAATATTGAATGGTAGCCCAAAAAAGAACAGTCTATGACACCCAGTTTCGTTTTACTTCTTTTGAGAGGAAAAACACAATGTCTGTTTCTCACCTCATAACAATTTTCTATTCGTATGCCCCATTTTCCTTCAACATAGTAACCAGGTTCAATAGTTAATACCATTCCTTCCCTGACCCATGATTGACTTCCACCTGCAGCTTGTCGGTAACCGATTGTAGCTTAAAAGTCAGACAAAAACTCACACTGCTATACACTTCAAACACACACAGCCCTATCAAGTATCAAGAGTACTTACCCGGACCTTCATGCACATTCAAAAAATGTCCAACACCATGGCCAGTTCCATGTCCAAAATCGAGTCCCTCTCGCCAAAATGGACTTCGTGCCAAAGTATCCAGACGAACACCTAAAAGAGGAGTTACTGACAGTGTGTGAAAAAATTATTGACAAGCCACTACTCAACCTGAAACTCCCTGTGGAAAAGTGGTGGTAGCCAGATTTATGTGGCCTTTGAGAACAATTGTATTGTCATGGATAAATTCTTTGGGGATGGGTTTGTCTTTACTAATCCACACCGTGCGGGTTACGTCAGTAGTACCGTCCCTAGAAATTTCAAACTCAAAAAACGGAAAATAAAGGTTCATAAAAGGAAATACCTATAGTGGCTATAGCATCAAAGAAAAGAAAAAAAAGTAAGAAAAGAAAGGAGTACATACCTATAATGGGCACCAGAGTCTAGTAAGTAGACCTGATCAGCTGTCACCAGCCGTTTGCCTTCTTCGCCCGCACTGTGGTAGTGAGGTTTGGCTGCATGATCACCGGCTGCAGATATCGTCGAAAAGCTAAAGTTCATGTAAAAATGAATTAGAATTACGGTACATCTGAAAAAAAAATGGGAAAAGAATCGAAAATCCTTCAAAAGAAAACAGAAAAAGAGCGGTGGCTAGCTCAAAGATCGACCGGTATCCTCAACTGCTAAAAAAAGTAAAGTCCTCAGTCATCTCACCTCAAATCCATATACTTATCTAATGTAGACCTCAAATGGTCAACCTTTGCAGCTGCCTCGATTTCGCTCATCGTATGTCCAGCAAGCAGATCTTCTTCTAGTTGCATCAAAAAGCTAACTAGTCCTGCACTATCACGAATCTACAAAAAAAAACTTCCTTAAATTGTTATATTTCAACAAAACAATTGGAACTTACATGGCTGTGTCGCATGCCATTCAGCTCTACTGGATTTTTCACGCCTTTCATCACTTGGACTGGACTGGCGTCAATGACAGAGACGTGATCAAAAATGCTTCCAAAGAGGTAGTTTGTAGAAGTAGGCACGAAAACCTAGACTGGCTCTTACATGTGCTCATGGCTCACTTTTACATCAAGTTAACATCACCTACCCTATGTTTTGCTTTGTTTTTCGCCTTTTGTTCATCATTCCATTTTGAGATAAAAGTATATGCATCATCATATGGATGTAAGGTAACCCGTTTTTCCTTGAGATAAGCTTGCGTCTGCAAAGCAATAATATGTTCAAGGCAGTGTTACTTTTAATCAAATCAAGTTGATACCTTCTCATCAGCTTTGTCCATAAATAGATGGACATCTTCCGGAGTTACAAGTAGGTATGAGTAGGCTAAAGGATTGTGCTTGATATCAAACCCGCGAATGTTGAGCAACCCTAAAAATACATATAGTATTACTATCATACAGATTTAGACCATAATATAAAGTGCTATTCACACATAATATCGTCTAATGCTGCAAGGATTATTGAACTGCACTTCTTTTTTGCAATTCTTTCGCGTAAATCCTTCAGTTTATCTTCGGTTTCACGACCATGCTCTTCAGCAGGCATGATGATTGCCTAAAGTCAAAGAAATTATTAAATCAGAGAACAGATAGTGTGAAGGAGATTGAACACTTACTCCTTTCGATTGAAGAGATGGTCGATTTTGCCAAAAGTCATCTATCAAATTTTGCCTAACAGGTGCGACATGAAGACCCATGCCCTCCAACGTCCTCACTAACCTCTGACCTCCTTCTGCAACAAATTTCTCCATAAATCAACAAACAATGCATCTACATTAATAGCTTTTTACATTTACCAATTGTGTGAAGCGCCGGATCAATTCCGACCCAGTCTCCAGCATCAACATTCTCCGCTACGAAATCTTCTGGTGAAATGGAGTCAGGTAAACCCTGTTTGAGGAGAGTGAAAGGTGGCACCAATTCTTCGTTGGCCTGGAAATGAATCGCAGACAATAAACAGATTCATACATCTATAGTAGATCAATCAAACAGCAAAAAAAATGAAAATAGAGAAGAGAACCATATTCAAAATAAGAAGAAATCAACGCAAGTTTCCAAAAAATGTTTGTACCTGGATAAAATAACGTCCATCAGTCCACAAGACCGCCTTCTCATTCGTGACAGCTACGTAGGCATTAGAACCGGTGAAACCCGTTAGAAACTTCACGCGAAAGTCGTGATCAGCCAAGTATTCACTCTGAAATCGGCGGTTTTGTTACATATGCAGGAGACGAGACTGAAAAAAGCTACACATTATGATAACTATCAAGCTTTGATAGTGATAAGCTTGAAAACCTGATGTGCATCAGTGCTTGGCAGAAGGTAAGCTTTTATTGGTGGTCCTTTTGTTACCGCTTTTACTTGCTTAGAACTAAATTGAGCACGCAATAAATCGACTGTTCGGTCTGTTGTCTTTTTTGGAAGAGACCTGCAAGTTTTTTGCCTCATGATTGGGAATGTGATGATCAGCAGAAGAAAAAAATGGTTTTTTGCCTTCACAAAGTGCATATGCTCACCTCGAACTGACTAACAATATGACAAACACCTTATCGAAGAAGGCCCACATATTTCAAGGGAAAAATCAGTACAAAAGACTTAGAGCAGCAGCTTAGAGCAGCAGTGATGCGAAAGCGTCTATGACATGTCGGTGTTGTTTTTGATGAATAATCGGAAACGTTTCAGCGCTTTTTGTGGCTGTGAGAAAATAGCAAAGTATAAAACAGCAAATTCCGAGACTAATAGCATCATCAGATGTCCCAGAAAGCTCTAAGTGCCCATAAAGTGTCGGAAAAAAAGAAGAGAGAACGATTCCTTAAACAGATATTACGCAATGATGACAAGCGAGTAAAACTACTGGCTCTACTATTTGGAAACCTAAATGTTGTTTATCAGCAAAAAAAAATCACAGAAAAACACTCCAAGCGAATGCCTCATAATCTCTCTATAATCTACTCCAATCTTATAATTATTGAACCATGAAACAAAAGATGTTGGAAAATGAGAGAATTACAGTCGCGTTACGAACGCAGACAAATGCAGAATTTGCGTCTATGCGGCGACGCGGTCCCTAGCCAGCGTACATATCTTCATCAAAAGTTACTATATCACTCTATTATAAACGTGTGTTACATCAACATTACATGAAATTAGATACAACATTCAACAACCACTTTGTCAACAAGGACAGCTAAGAATCACGCCTCTTCACGCCCGCAAAAGTGCAGCATACCTGATGTGCATCGGTGCTTGGAAGCAGATAAGCTTTCAACGTTGGTCCTTTTGTCACAGCCTTTACATGCTCGGAACTGAATCTAGCACGCAATTGATCGGCTGTGCTGGACATGGCCCCCTTGAGAAAAAACCTGGAAAAAAATTTTTTTGCACTGTACCGTAATTATTAGCAGAATTTGAAAGAATACTCGGCATGAGTTGTATGAAAAACAATTCCAAATCTTTGAGATGTTTTTGTTTGACAAGATCAGTTGAATGACAGCAGAATCAGTCAACAAGAAGAAGATCGAAGGCTGCCTTAGCTGATGTATCTGTCACGTTACAAGAGGAACTAGACGGGGAAAACAAAGCAGATGTGAAACCCGACCCGATGGATGAGCACGCAACAACGATGACGATGTGATTAACGAAAAGATCGCCGATCAAAATTTAGGCATAAACAAAAATTTTTGTGGAGTAGATGAGATGTATTTTATCAAAATGAACTGAAGAATGGACGGATCACTGCAAGAGTAGGGCTATCGACTGTCGCGATAACCTAATCTAGAACACTGATAGCGAATTTTTGCGCTCGAATTTTCTACAACAACATCGTAGTCTGAAATGTGCCCTTGTTTTCAAAAACAAAGCTGATTCCTGATACGTCTGCCCACATAGAGCTTTCAGTTATACTCCATGGTACAGTCGATTTCATGTCAAGGCTCCTGGTGTAATTGCACCATTTGTACATCTACACGACACGGAAGCAAAGGGCACATGATCCAGTGATTTTGATAATATAATGGTCTACAGGTTTGTAGTGGGCCCCACATAAAATCTGCCAACCAAATTTCAGCCAAATCTGTGATTTTTGCCTTACCATAAACCCATATAACCACACAAAATGGCGCTTTTATGCGGAAAGAGTGCGAGACATGACCCAGCGTTCCACTGAGAGAATAAAACAGGCTAGATGAGCTATTAAAACTCAAAAGAAAAAGTTTCACATCAAAATCTACATACAATGCACAATAATTTGGACTAAAAGTAACAGAACTAAAGTATTTACCTTAAATGTGAGGGCTGACATATTCTCAAGCAAAATATCGCCATGTCTTTCGTGAGGCTACTCGTTCATTTCATGCGTGGCACAGAACAAAAGGCATCTATAAAAGAGGAAAAGTTGGAAAACTTTGATGGCTTTTCTAATTTAACAAGGATTGAATGCGAATCGAGTATTTACAGCATTGAAGATAAGGTTACTAGTATGCTTGGTGTTTTTAGCATGAACAAAACATCAAACCGATTAGAAGTTTGAACAATGAAAACGAATTTCATCCAACAATACTCCACCCGGCTGGTTGGACTTTATCGCGTCTCCCCCGTGCACCTTCTGCAAGCTGCAAATATTTCACTAGTAGTCTGCGTCTCTATTTTCTCGTCACAATTGGCAATGGCGGCTCCCATCGGGGCATTCAAGCTCCCCGTTGCCGTTTTCTCGTAATGTGTAAACCAAACAACCATCGATCCATATGTAAAGAATCACTGATCAACTATGTACTGCTTGTAGGCCTCACAGTAGTCATATATTTTATTTATGATGTTTTCTCAAACCCGCTTATCGTTATCGCGGATTAGTTGTGCATTTGAGCCTCGAACTTTTCAGCTTTCACGGGTTGCTGGATTGGCATGAATTGAGGGTCCTTGTGCAATAATCTAGTGAGAATGTCTTCTTCAGCTATTTTCATCCTCGATCTCAAAGGAAAGGTACGCAGTTGTCGGTTAAATTTTATCATATGTAGGGTTTTTCATGCTTATTTTTTCTTTTTATGTGTTTATTTATTCCAAAGTGAATGTATGGATATGCAGGCCAAATATATCTTTGACTTTCTTAGGTAGATCCACTTTGAGATTTTTGAACTTTTAAGAAGAGACAAGCAAAATTTGCGCAGCAATAGAAGCCCAGTTTCGTACAGAAATAGTACTTTGGTAAAAAAAAAAACTTCAGCTTTGAAAACATTATGTCAAGTCCCTATGCGAAGCAGCGTCTCAAGTCTAAAGTAGCTCCATAACTTTGGGATGTATATCTCAAGAGGCGCGATTTTTATTGCCAGATGGACACAAATTGATTTTTATTGCTTGTACCGTTCTAGAAGCCTTTCAAAATTCTGAGTAAATATAGAGAATCGTTGCATGAAATGTTCAACCTTACTAACTTGAAACGAATTCAAAACATAAATGTTGAGGTCAAAAACTTGCGAAGATGCAATCTATAGCAATTTAGTTAGCATCTGGGTCGGTTTTTTCAACGAAAGTGAGATTCGAGAAGTGGTACCTTTAGATAGCTGATAGCTATCTAGAAAAGCTAGAAAGCTTTGTCTGGTGCCCTCCAAGAGACTTGCAAAGCTCAGTGGGCTTTTAAATCAGTGACGTTTGAAGAAAGCGCGCCTCTTGACCATCTCCCATAATTTTGAACCGATTTTTCTGCGAGTTGTGGATGATAGTGCTTACATGTCCATGACGCGACCTTTTTTTCCCAATATTAGCTCCGGTTTTTACAGACCATCATCTCTCGTAACTATCGTGGCGATGTGGATATGGGCGTCATCGATCGCTTTCTTCCTCTGTTAATGGACCGCGAAGAGGATGGATTAGCATGCCCAGTGATCTCAAGTCAAGATGCTACTTTTGTCTATATCAAGCACAACAATATATACTGTAAGTAGCTATCTCTAATCACTGCCTTTGGAGCATCGCCAACCCTTTGAATATTTTTATTATTTTTCGATTTACGGAGTTCACTGCGAGCATATAATGTGGTTTGCCTCCTCTGTTTTTGCGCCATGGCGCAAGTTTTTGCTGCGCACATTTTTTTGTGTGGATGCGCACAGAGATCGATCAGATCTCTAGAATATGCCCAAATGAAGGTGGATGGTTTATCGGTTGCAAAGCGTGCGCGAATTGGTTGAGGTTTCTCAGGAGCGTTGATGCAGCAGTCAATGCCAGTGCGCAACGCGCGCCACGCTCGCATGCGTTTCGCTCATATGAGCATCCGCCTTCATTCGGGACTAGACCATATGAGATCTTGATGATTAAGCGAATTAACAAAGTTGTTTTTCTTTTCATATCAAATTGAAACGTCTGAAAGACGTAAGCTAAGATGAAATTCAGTCTTTAAGAAATCAGAATATTTGTGCAAGGTAGCTTTTGCCAACTTTCTGGTCGCATTTCTCCTTTTTTAGCCTTTTTTGATGCACTGGTATAGTGATGCGGGTGGAGATACAGCATCGCGTTTTTGCCTTCTTTATTTTTCTTATTCTGCCAGAAGGTGACCGCGCACTGCCATCACCGCGATCGCTGCATTATCTGCGTTAGGCCTAGGCAGAGTTCACGCAATTTTATCGTTCAAGCGATACCCCATTAGGACAACTGTTACGAGTTCATTGCATGCCGACCTACTTGCATTCCGGCTGTGATAGTTTTCCGACACGACTAATCGTGACCAACTATCACAGCCGAAATGCAAAGTGACTGACAGCAATGGACTCGTAACACTTGTCTTGTTGGAAGAATCGCGAGGCATGAAATCGCATGAACTCTTTGGCCTTAGCCAATCAGCTATTAAACGATTACATTCACTGCAGTGTTCGAGTTCCAACAAAAAGTGTCAAGCTTTGAGCTGAGCTGGTTGTGGTATAGGATTTGTTATGATATGCCTTGCAACAGTTTGATACAGTGTGTACTATCCGCTGCAACCAATGCTTTTTCAGTGGTTTCGACATGTCGATCTAATGTAAACGTGACGTTGGTGCTGTCGTTCCTCTTCAAATGTGTTGAGGTGAGTATCGTTTTTGCGGCTCGTATGTATATATGTTTGCCGTAGTTGTTGAGAATTTGCCCGTAGCAAGAGGAACCATAGATCAAGTTTTACGCATATTTTCTTCAATGTACGTGTGACTTAGAACACTAAATTATCTGAGAGAATCTGCATTATTTTGCAGGTTTTTACTGAATACTTCAAAGATGTTGAAGAAGAATCTGTACGGGATAATTTTGTTGTCATATATGAACTTCTCGACGAAATGATGGATTTTGGTTTCCCTCAAACGACAGAGAGTCGAATTCTGCAAGAGTAAGTAGCACAGCTCGTTCTTGCCATTACACTCTATAATTTATACACTTTTTACCACCTTGGTTGTAGATTCATTACACAAGAGGGGCACAAACTTGAGGTTGCACCGCGGCCGCCAATGGCTGTTACAAATGCTGTCTCTTGGCGATCAGAGGGTATTAAGTACAGAAAGAACGAGGTGTTCCTCGATGTGATCGAGAGCGTCAATATGCTAGTGAGCGTTCTTTGATTTGCACGTATTCTTTTTTTATGTATTTGATACGATTTTCTAGTATAGCTTGTGTTGTATGCGTTGCATTTCGTGTTGTATCACCATGACATTTTTTCTAAATTATTTCAGATTGTGAATATTCTAGGCTAATGCAAATGGCACAGTCTTACAAAGTGAGATAGTTGGCTCAGTTAAAATGAGAGTGTACTTGACTGGAATGCCAGAGCTGCGACTTGGGCTCAATGACAAAGTGCTCTTCGAAGGAAGCGGACGTAAGTCTTGGTGGTTTAATATTTTTTTTCCATTATTCGAATTTCATCTTTATGAAAATTTGTTTTTTTTTTGGATTTTATTCGCAAATTATTACATTATATATATAAGTCAGGCGCCAGCATGTTACAGTGCCATTGTATTAGGTTTTTATGTAAATTCTTTCCAGTTGTTTGTGATCTTACGACTAATTTGTTTTTGAACATCTGCTGTAGAGCTTTCTCTAAGCTTGACCATCTTGACTGGCCATTGTCTGTCGAGTCTCTCAATCTGATCTTTTTGTGCTGCAAGCTTTTTTCAGTCAGTAGTGTCTGATATGAATTCTTATCAAGAGTCTGTTATCTGTAAGATGTAACATTCAATTCTTCATAAACTCAGCCGTGCGTATTCCCCGCTTCTATGCAAAAAGTTCATGTCGCAAATAGAAACGAATAGTTTCAGTACAGTCAGCGCATTGTGGGCAATGTTTATCTAAACGCTTTTCCTCGAATACATACGGATAAAGCACGTTCAGTTGTCATTGATTACTGCATTCTGAACGAAAGTTTACGAGTTTACTCGTTGTTACACCATAGCGACGTGACTCTTCTACTTTACGCATCTCTCCAACGCTCGCAATATTTTTGCATACTGCACATTCGCAGTAACTCTTACTAGTTCGAGTTCTTGCAGTATGTCGCAGGCTGCCTCTCCTCCTCAATTTTGCAATGCTCAGCTCTGCATTTGTATCGAAAAATGCCCTGAATCATGGGAGGCGTGCGAGATTTTCATATTTTGAAGCTGAGCTCGTGTCTTTTTACATATTCTTTCCTCTCCATCTTCATCAAATTTTTGTGCTCTGAGAAGCATACAAAAAATGTTGAGCTTTTGAGAATATTTATGTTTTACTTTGATTACTTACTTTATTCTCATTTTCCACGGATTAACTTTTTCCAACTACCCTTGATCTTCTTAACCACCACATATGCGTAATTTTTTAGGCGGAAAGAGTAAATCGGTCGAGTTGGAAGATGTCAAGTTCCACCAATGCGTGCGACTATCACGTTTTGATAATGATCGTACTATCTCTTTCATTCCTCCAGATGGAGCCTTTGAGTTGATGAGCTACCGTCTCACGACCGTAGTGAAACCGCTGATCTGGATCGAAACAAATGTGGAAAGGCATTCACATTCTCGAGTGGAGTTTATGATAAAGGTGGGATGATAGGACATTGCGCAATTTTTTTCTGCCTCATTTTGTGCTTGGGAATATCTGCGAGGATAGTGTATTGGTCATGTGAGTAAATTTACTGCTGTCGTTTTTCTGGAAAACCCGGGTGGGGAAGGGTAGGGTCATCTGTTCTTTAAAAAAAGCTCGCATGTTTTTTTTGAGTTGCATCATATGTAGCGTCTCACTGGTATACTTGCAGGCAAAATCTCAGTTCAAGCGTAGATCTACTGCAAACAATGTGGAAATAATCATCCCAGTTCCATCAGATGCCGATTCGCCAAAGTTTAAGACCAGCATTGGTGCTGTCCGCTATGCTCCTGAGCAGAGCGCATTCGTTTGGACAATCAAAAGCTTTCCAGGTTAGCTTGTCGTTATCTTCTGTAATTTCATTTTCGTGAAAGTTTTCATTTAGGAGGAAAGGAATACCTGCTGAGTGCACACTTTTCTCTCCCATCCGTCGTTGGTGAAGAAGTAGAAGGAAAACCTCCGATCAAAGTAAAATTTGAAATCCCGTACTTCACTACATCTGGGATACAGGTATGTCGGAGTAGCAGTTTTTGGCTCAGCATCTGTCTTCTTTGCAGTTTCATGTCCGTCTGGCTCTCGAATTTTTGTATCTTTGCTTGCACTTTCATCCTGCGTCATCCGGGATGAAAGTTTGTCACTCATCTTCTGCCTGAGCATACAAGTTCTGCGCCAGTGAAGCGTATGTGAAGGAAATCTTATTATCGGAGTAGCTGTCCCTTCACGCTAGCTCCTAGCAGCCATATAGTCTCATGAAAAAAATTAGAAAATATGAGAAAATCATCAAGTTTTGCATATTCTGATTTTATCATTGAAAAATTATTTGATAGCCGAGCTTCTGAAAAGTATTCAAAGAGCGCTTAAGGCCTTTATGTTATGCCATCCCCTTATTAGCAACCTTTGAGGGAGGGGGGAGGAATTCACCAGCTATCTCAGTCTGCAACGAAAACTCTTACTGTGAGGTTGTACTGTTTCTGTTTCATTGAAAGACTTGGCATGGCCATAATTGGAACCGCAATAATACTTCAAATTGGAATTGAGTGCAAATGAATTTACTACTGTTGTTCATAACCGGTTTACTAGAGTTTCGGAAATATGTTTCATTTAAAATGTGCTCTCTTCTGTATTTGTTGTTTTGCATTTATAAAAGTTTGTGTAGTTCGCTTCTACATGCACTCCTTCCTATCCAAATGTTTGTGGTTTTCTGCAGCTATCTTTTTCATCTCTGTCATCTTTTTCCCGATGAACTGATTCTAATTTCTTTCTAATTTTAGCTGCATGTCTGCACAAGCCGACTAGTGGTTACATCGCTTTATCTCTTATGTAGGTATTTCCAGGTCCGCTATTTGAAAATCATCGAGAAAAGTGGTTATCAAGCTCTTCCATGGGTAAGATATATCACACAGAATGGTGAGTATCAAATGAGAATGAAATAAAGATACGAGCGACCCAAAAATCTTTTTTACCCATTTATTATTTATTTTCTTGATATTCTTTGCATGTTATTTTCGCATTTTCGTTGTTTTCTTTCCTTTTTACTTGTGATTCTCACTCTTGAGATTTATAATCGGTGCAAAATCTGTTGAGTTTGATATTGGCATAATTCTTCTTAGCATAATCAGGATCTGCTTTTGTCATTACTTCTCCCTCATCCTTTTTTGTCGTTATCTGTTTGATTGTTCGTATGTGTTTTAATTCGATACAAGTCATGATTTGAAACAATCAAAATTGTTGAATTGCTTTTATTGATAAGTACATGTTATTATCTTGCGATCTTACTCGATCATTACACGATGGTTGACTTTTTGTAGGGAACTTAATTATTTTCTCTGCTTAGAATATGCAGAGAACGAATTTCGAACTTCTTATCGCAGCTTGTACTCTTTGCTCTTGTTATTCTCTTCATTCTGATGCAATGGTTACGTTTCAAGTGCACATAAAGTTTTTGTTCAGATGAATTTTGGGAACTTTGAGTGTTGATCACTTTTGCAATGTTTCATGTGCAGTCGAACTGAATGAGTTGCTTTTACACACGTTCACCCCAAATTTGTTTTCAGATGCGTCATTACCGGGTAGTCTCGTGCGCGCCTACGCTTTTTCGAAGGTTGTGCTCAGGGAAGTCGACCAGTCCGACTCCGATAATGGTACCCATTTTACCGCTGTCAAATTACCTTACTCTAGCCTTACCAGTAGGCTCCTCTTACTTCTTTCGTTGAAAGCAAGATTCTCAGCGCACCTGCACGCAAAATTGTGCTTGCTAGGTGGCTGCTCGTTGCAGTTCTGTCAGCAGCGCGTACTAATTGTCTCGCAGTAAAAGTGTAGAGCGAGACTTTTTCACGATTCTATCGATCAGAACAATTTCGGAGAGCGAAATTACTTCGCTTTAAACTGGTTTTACACTTTCATACGTGTATTTCCGTTTCAGCTATTTACGCCGAGACGGATTACTGGTTTCACCTTCCAACGTTTCGCGAATTATTCACCTACCGTATCCGATTCACCGTCGTCTTCACAAGATGACATGATACCTGGTGTAAGCATGTTGAAGCGGATTGTCAGTGATCTTGAAGCGACTGGGATAAAGTTTATCTTGCCCACGTCAGATCCTGAGGCGATGCAGAGTTTGGCACAACCATTAAAATCTCTTGGAGCCGTTGGTAGGCCCATCTATGTTGATTTATGGATCGACTGAAATACTCATTGTTCAGGTGTAAAGCCTGAGTTTCTAGTGGATGCTTGCGTAAAAAACCCCAGCTTGCTCCGTAATCTCACCACGAAGGGAGAGGAAGCGTGGCAGGTGCTGATCTTATATCCTTTGTGAGATTGTTATTCGGATAGAAGTTGAAGGTTTTCAGCAGCTGTAGGACTGCAACAAGTGAATTGCAATAATGTATTGAATTACTATCTTGCGCATTTTCGCCAGAACTTATTAGTTTTCGGCTGCAATTTTTTGGTAATCTTTAATTTTTACCTGCTTGTATCTTAGAAATAGCTCGGTTCCCAAATAATAATCAGGGTTTGCGAGAATGTGAAGGTCTCATCTATGCGTTATAGTGTTCATATCGTTATTTTTCTGTCGATGTCGAGTACCTAGAGCTTTTGGATCTGGTATCCTCCCCTTTCCCTGCCATTTCCCACGAAAATTTTCAGTTTAAATTGGGGAGCGTATAGGAGGCTAACTTTCTACTATTAGAATTTTTATGTGAAAGCAAGTCAATTTACCTGTCATTTTGAAATATTGCTTGGGTTATTGGCTTACAGTGAATTCAGGACTAGTATACTAGCTCGCCGTTATTATCCCCTCCCACGTATAATAGGCATAGTAATCCCCCTCCCCTTCCCCATGATGCAGTCTGCAGCGGTTGTTTCATTTCTAGCAGCATATAATGCAAAACGCTTGTAGTGCCCTCCCTCTCCTGGGTAAGCTATCTCATACGGATTTACCGCGGAGTATCATACTGTAGCTTTGGCAGCGATCCAATCGCAATAGCGTAGTGTACTGCGAAATAGTCACAGTCACGGCTTTCATTAACCTAGCAAAAAGATGGAGAGGATTCTATGTTCGGAGCAAACTCAAACCGTGTTCCGATCAACAAGGGTAAGAAGATTTCTGCCATTTAGGCTTCATTCAGGTGCTGTGGTGACACTTTTTGATCTAACAAGGTTGATCAAACATCTAACGATCCCAACTTAAGGTGGCGAACTGGAATGAACCGCATACCATTAGATGCGTCTTGATGAGCTGATTCCAAATCTGTCTTCCATATCTGCGACAACGTTATCTGCAAAAAGTTATGAGCGATTGAAAATGTGAAGTTATCGGGGTTTCAATGCATAATATGCTTTAAAATTCAACTTGGAAGTGCACGACTAGCATGATATTGAGTGTACTGATTCCAGGGAATGCTCAGATTTTAAAGAAACACAGATGAGTGTTTTTGAACAGCTAAAAAGCAACTCAAAGTTCTTTGGTAAGAGCTATGAGCAATGAAAAGTCCAAATTTGGCAAATGTACAGCGCCATACCTTAAACCGAAAATTAGTTGTTCAAAAACACTTATCTGTGTTTCTTTAGAATCTGAGCGTTCCCCGGAATCAGTATACTCAACATCATGCTAGTCGTGCACTTCCAAATTGGATTTTAAAGCATATTATGCATTAAAACCTCGATAACATTTTCAACCGCTCATAACTTTTTGCAGATAACGTTGTCGCAGATATGAAAGACAGATTTGGAATCAGCTCATCAAGACGCATCTAATGGTATGCGGTTCATTCCAATTCGCCACCTTAAGTTGGGATCGTTTCCTTGTAAGACATGCTGAAAGGACTAGTTCATTGTACATTTCTGATTTCATGCAAGTAGTCTTTTACTTTTTGGACCATCGCAGGCGGCTTCTCTTCTGATGTGGGTAAGAGGAAGCCAGGAGCAGAATTGAGGTTATGTTGGACACAATATGTCAATGATGTGTACAGGCGATTCATGGCACGCAAAGACTTCGGAAGTATCGGCGTCTCTCTCATCGAGCGCTCTTTCGTTTCTCTTACCGTCTGCTGTCTCTCCCATGCTCGAACTATTTTTGGTCGGACGCAACGGCCCAGTCTTTACGTATCGTGAATCGTGATAGCTTTTTAGAGCGGCAGAATACGCTTCAGTACGGGGCAGCTACTTAGGGGATCAGAGTACGAGGGAAATTTCTTGTCTGCAAACTTTACTGGTCTACAGGACTAGTTTGAAATGCTTGTTGAGTGCTCCAATTACGCATTCCCGAAGAAAACTATGATCTTAGAAATGTTCAAGTCTGTTATGCAGGTTTCTAGGAGTAGGTTGATGTGATTGCTGTGACAGTGAGAGAATTACGCTATCTCAAGCACATTACTCGATTTATTTGAGAACTTGGTTGTTTCAGATAGTCAACATGCTCGTGGAATCATGTGGGATGACTTATGAAGATGCATTACGAATGTTTGCTGGGTTAGTTTCATTGTTATTTGTCGTTTTTCTATCCACTCTATTTTTCGCATCTGCGGTGACGAATAAAAGAATCATAAAAGTGCTCCGTTGACTGGACAGCATTTTTGAATTCGCTTGATTTTTTCCTTAAATATTCTTCATCTCATAGTATTATGGAGCATTTCTACGCCCACTTTTATGTTCAAGTGCTGTGTCTTGCCATCATTTTGAATTCACATACGTGATCTGCAATCTCTACTAAGCACTTGCATCAGAATTTTTTCGTTTTCGAAGTGGAGAGTGACAGTTTTGTAGACATGGTAAAAATCTTCTAGTATCTCCCAAAATTAATTTTTCGTGCTTTTTGAGGAGAGCCATTGTCTGTGATAGGCGCAAATTTTTACTTATTCTTGTAATCAAGAAGAGAAGGAAAAATGGTTTTTGCCTTTTTAGGAGCATCAAAAATTGTTTTTTATGCTATTCTAGTAGGTAATACTTGCGCATTATCTAGTGATTAACGTGTAGTAAACTAAACCTTTTTCGTTTTGCAGGAATAATGCAAAAAGACAAGGTATTCATGACACGAGATTTTTTCTAACCATCTCGCTCGTACATTTTTTCTTACTACTCTGGTTTAGTCGTGAGCAAAGTATGCACCAAAGCAAATATCACTGATCCACCTTTTCATCGCTTTCCCATCAGGAAGTCTTACCACTACACCCGTCTATGTCGTAATGTCCACTTTGGTAATTCATCATAACAAAACTTCTTCGAACTTCTCTCTTATATGTTTTAGTCACATCGTAATATGATCACATAGCACATAAAGCAGTCTCGTGACGAGTTCCTTTTTGTGAGTAATTATGCTGGTAGTTAATGTGAAATCTTAAAGATTCTGTGTACAAAAATTTCTGCAAAAATGTTTCGGTTTCACTCAACGAGCAGTTCTGGAACGCTACATGATCTGTTTTTTGAGCATTTTTGAAACTACTGTGGTACTCTTCTATCTCATTTTCGTTTTTGGAGTACGGTAGTGAAAACTGGTTTGCAAATATGGAAAGTACAATGTCGAAAGCATCAACGTTGAAGCGAGCTAATTTCTTCATAAATTGGAACCAGATTTCAAGAATCAAAGAAGAATTTGATGGTTTCGCGTAAAGCGCATGGCCAAATTGAAGAGAGGGCCAGTTGACTAGTGCCTTTCCTTCGTGATCCTACCGTATCTCTAGCTTGGACTTTTTGAGATTGAAAATTTTTTTCTTGTGGTTCTAGAAATTCTATCTCGACGAGCAATTTAGGTCCCAAGTTGCATCTCATATTTTTTTAGCCTTTACTTGTTGTAAAATTTTTTTGAGTTGCCAAATTTTCCAACGAAGGACTCGTTTTTCAGTCATTCTTTACCAGAAAATTTTTCTTCAGGTCGTGGATTTTTTCTTCTGTTAAAGCCACTTTGATGGTTGACTAAACCACTTTGGATCACCACTGAGCTATCTTTCCTAGCAGTTTGATAACTCTCATATTCATTGTTCTTATTGTTAGCATCATCTTCCTAGTTTGGCCATCTATAGGAACTTATTTACAATACAAGAATTAGTTTATGAAGATTTCTTCCTTGCCCAGGAAACATTTGATTGTGATTTTTTGATTTTCCTAATCACTTAGAAATCATCAAATTAACTCCAGACAGTCGAAGAAACAGCTTTTTTTGTGAAGGAGTAATTGGATTCACTTTTTCTTATTGCGTTTTACCACGCTTTCAAAGCTGGATAGGATATATTCACAATTTGCCTTACTTTTTCATATTGAATCTGAATCCCACATGGTTTTCGTTGCTTGTCTCATAGCATCTTACGCTATGTGCCGTATTAGAGACGTATCTGGTTTTTTACTGGTGGGATGCCGCTAGGTATAATCGCTTAACTTCTCTTGGGTTGAGATTGCTAAAATGCAGTGTACCGCCAAACTAAGGTACCAGGCTTTGTAATGGAAATCGTTACGGAGGCATTAAAGTATTTCTCAAGCTACAGTTTATTTGATTTACTCTCTGCCGAGCTTACTTGCTCATATCCTTGCTTCTGACCTCTTACCCACAACGTACCTCCTACCGTACTCGAAGATGCTGAATGGCTACTTTGGAATAGCACGGTCTGGGTTGAGTTCATAATTTGAATCTCTCGATCACGAATGCGCACATGAGCTGCAAATTGAGCAATGGCTTAGCTGAGGCCTTAGAATCGGTACCAGTAAGAAATCAAGGCAGCTGTTTGCGTGGACCTTAGAATAGTTGGCTGTTGTCTTACAAGAAAAGGAAGATTAGTTGAAGTGACCTTTTATTATGAGATGGATATTGCCTTGAAGGGTATGAGACGTTGATTCCAAATACCTCCCTTATCTGCTGCGGATTTCTGCATGAGGAGTTACGAAAAATTTTTATGAGCAGTTTGCATGTGTAGCTAGGACAAAATCAGTCGTAACAATTTTTCTACGTCTTGAATAATTTTAGAGTTACTTTTACAACAAACATTCTTAGTTTAAACATATCCACTTGACTCTGCCACTTTGGAATACTAGGAAAAGTCAACGATTGACTTTCCACTCCGATCATGCATTGTTTTTGCCCACTAAAACCTTTAAACTCCTTGCTTAGAAGCCCGCAGCAGGTAAGGGAGGTAGATTTAAAATCAGCGTTCCATACTCTTCAAGTCACTATACATCTCATACGGAAAGGTCACTTAGGCTTACCTTCCTCCCGTTGTTAGACAAAGCTGACTCTATGCTTTTCTTCTTCTTTTTTGCTTTCTTCTTTCTGCAACCAGTGCTGTCAACGTTTTTGCTTGACCTGATCTAAATACACAGAACATATTTAGGTACGGTGACGATCTGCTTGCTTGCTCTTCCCAAGGAGTGCAGTCACGAGCCGATGTGCTCATCACATGTGGAGTAAAAGCTGGTCGAGGTGTTGGACGTGTTGTTCGAAAATGTCCGGCCATATTATTTGCTCGAGATCCTTCAGAGATGAGCAAAGTGGCTGAAGCATTGGGTGGATTTTTCTCGAGAAAGGAGGTAGAATGGTGCGAATCAAACCCCATTGCGTCAGATAATCTGATCTTCAGATGACCGCCATTGTGCAAAATGTTCCTGAAGTTTTACTCAAGAATATCGAAGAGCTTGAAGAGAAATACGAGTACATCTTCTTTCAGGTACTCAAAATTCAAGCACCTTGAGTGTTTTTGTTTTGTGTATGCTTTCAGATGTGCATCGAAGGAGAAGAATTCAAAGAGTGTAAAAACTGGCCTATTATGAATTTGGAAGAGATAATGACACGACATGAATTCTTATTAAAGACGGGAAAGTATATGACACCCGATCCGAAACATCCTCAGAAGAAAATGGTAAGTTGAAGTAGACATTCGGCAGTAGCGGTAAGTAAGCGAAAGCGAAATTCTTTTCGTTAAAGGGGGAGGGGGGGGGGGGGAGAAGCGCAGCTTTTTTTTCGAATAAAGAGTTATGGCGTTGGCCACCTCTTCCATGATATTGGCATGTCTTCCAAAAATAAGGGGTCTAAAATGTTGAAATTTTAAGAGAAGGGAGCCGCGAAATTTCATAAGGCTATATGCATTCTCAAAAATTTCTAAAAACATTGATTCTTCGCAAGCGTTACAAGTCATTTATGCAGTTTTTTGAGCTCATGTACGCTACCTTCAAAAGATCTGCCGCCCTCCCCCCGTCAATCTGCCACTGGCATTCGTTTTTTTTTTGAGTGGGGGGAGGGAGGGAAGTAGGGGCTGTGGAAGTGGTACCTAAAGTTCTCTCTCGTGTTTTTTCTTATGTTTAGGGAAATTTTTTTCTCACACTTTCAATCTTCAGGGAAATCCTCGGTTACATCAGATTCTGGACTCAAACGATGATCATTTTGCGACACAGGTATTGCTTCTTTTTCTCTAGATTCAAATTGCTCGCACTTCTTTTCACACTTTTTTGTTCGCTCGCTAATTTCTTATGCACAGGTTGCCGGTGTGACAAAAGAGGAATGGGCAATTTATCGTGCATTTGCTGAGAAAATTTCCAAGCGTTCGGATAAGGAACGCCCATATGAGAGAGTGAAACCATCGTTGAGAAAAGCCTATGAGCGACGGAGGAAAGAGGCAAAACCCACGGAAGATTATGTTTTTGACGTATCGGCGTCGACGGGTGGCTGAAGAAGGCTTCGTTGTAAAAAATAGTTGTTGTTTTGTTAGAAGTTGAATAGATTGCTGTTTGTATATTTTGTTTACAGTTATACCGTTGACAGTCATTATACGAGGTCTTGGCAGCGCTAAATAGTACTTTTCTATTGCTTGTTGCATTTTTTGGGTTTATTTACCCTACGATTTTGTTCGCACATCTCTTTAGTGATGTCTTTGCACCTTTCAATTCTATAGGTTTTTAGGCTGTTACCTGTAGTTAGGTTTGTAGTGGAAATCGCTGGGAATGTGAAGTGACAAGTACAGGTACGAGTACTCTTAAACACATTTCAATGGCTCTGTTGTTCTACCGTACTCTCTTAAGAGTTTTTGATTTTTAGTTTCGGTCTCACTTCGATGCATCACAACTTATATCCATACAATGAGGCCAATAACAACACTGTCAATGACAATGTCGTAGAGGTTGGTGAACTTAGCAGCTTAATAATCATTTTTAGCCGTTCCTATAATAAAATTGCTGTCATAATGAGAAAAATTGAATAAATTGTAAAAATAACAAAACTCAAGAATATCCAATTCCGTTTCATTCCTGCCACAGATGTAAAAGGATAAGAGTGCGATCTTCCCCGGAGAAATCATCAGTAGTGAGGGAAGATCGTGTGCTATGGGAAAAATAACAAGGGAACTAACCTTAACCTTCGTCCTGTACGATCCTACTTCTGTTCTCAGTATATGTTGAACATATCTCAAACTTGGGTAATCAAACCATAAGTTTGAAATAACAAGAAAAAATAAGCTTAAATGCTGATCAAGAATGGAGGAGGAGGTGGAGAGAAAATATGAAAGGTCATAACTTTATAGTGATTCGAGGACTTGGGCATGGGAAATTTTCTTCGAAATAAAGTTTTCGTAACTGGGTGGAGGACATTAGGTCGCCGAATTTGGAAGAGTCCCGCGCGGATTCCCTGCAGGAACGCATGTCCGCGCATGTACAAGGGTGCGTATTTGTCGCAAATGACCGCGGGGACCGCCCTTTTTCGGCGACCTAATGTCCTCCATCCTTCGTAACTGTTTTCGCTTAACTAGAGGTAGGTAGCTTACGGTATTTGTTTGGCTACCCCTCTCATTCGCTATCAATTAATGTGCTTTGTAATCTATTACTGCTAAAGTGCCTGCAAAGTACGGTAAAGCGTATGTCTTGAGGTGTTGCAAAAACCTTCATAATCAAAGTGCAACTCTTTTAAGTAATAACAAGTACTCATGCAAAATATAATAAATACCCAAACTGCAATTCAGGCTGTGTATAAACAGTGTAAACTAGGAGGCATCTAATGCTGTGAATCATTTACTCCACGAATACCAGTTTGCAGTAACTTGTTTCATGCAGCAAAGATGTATTTTAAGTTGACGATGCGCTTTAGGAGGATTAATCGGTTTGATTCTGTTTCGAACTCCGCAACTAAGAAGCATAGTGAAATTAACAGCTACACCTCTCTAACTGCAGTAGGATCTTAAATCGCAATGGCGAACTGGAATGAAATGCATACCGTTTGGTGCGTCTTGTGGTGCTGACCCTAAATTTACCTTCGTATTTGCTGTGGGATTCTCTGGAAGAAGTTATGAGCAGTTAAAGATGTGAATTCATTGGAGGCAATGTACAGGCAAATCTGGGCGCATGTGCTTCTTGCCTGGAAACTGATGAGGGGGTCCTATTTAAGACGCTGCCCAGCGCAAAATTCGTTCACGTTTGAGAAATCTATCCCCAAAATTTCTCCGCGTCCGCGCCGGGACAGTCTCACTATAGCAATTTGGGAGGGTTTACAGCGCGCGCAGTGTTGAAGTGAACGAAGTCATTGGTGGGTTACGGTCACGGCGCGGGCGCGGAGGAGTTTGGGGATGGATTTCTAGCCGTGAGTAAATCACTTGTGCTTCCGCTTCGGTAGTGCCTTAGATAGGGCCCCTCTCATCAGTTTCCAGGCAAAAAAGCCATAGGTCCAGATGTGCCTGAGGCATTTAACACATTCACGACAGGGTCGATTTTTCGATGACTGCCATTTCGGACCAGAGCATATTTCGCAAAATTGAATTTGCGTAATATTTTCAGGTCACTGATGGACCCTGTGGTCTGAAGTGTTAATCTTTTAGGAAGTACTCGAAGAGATGTATGCAAAAGTTTACTCGGTTCGCCTAAAAAGTTTCACCGTGAACTAACAAAACCAAAAACTTCGGAAAGCATACGACCCACCGGTGGGTCGTATTGTCCGAAATGGCAGAACACGTACGACCCACCGGTGGGTCGTATTGTCGTGTATGTGTTAAAGGCACCGTCCACCCTAAGTTGAGGGTGTTGAGCTTTTGGCAGCATATAATGGTAGGGTCCCCTATCAATCCAATGCCCAAGTCGCGACGCAAAATGCCGCTTCGGAAGTGAGAAAATCGCTTCGGAATAGCGAACATGCACGAGGACCCCCATCCATGCCCGCCCATTTGTGCGCGCCCATCCAATCACCGTTCCGGAAAGCCGGCCTGAGGGTTCTCAGGAACGGGAATTGTCGGGGTTTTCGCACATTCTGACTTCATATTCGGAATCAGGGACATGAGAAGGCCCTGAAGCGACAAAAAGGTGGAAGTCAAAAATCTGGGTGGACGGTGCCTTTAAGTTTGTAATGCATGATGGTGCATTGAAATCCAGCTTGAGAGTGCAGAGTGTCGAGTGTGCTGACTACAAGGAATGCACACACTAACCAGAAAAACAAATAAGTGTCCTTGAACAGCCAGTTGTGGAAGAGGTGCCACTTAGCGTTTGCCATCACTGGACTTTCACACATCCATAACTCCTTCCAAAGAATCCTGCAGCAGATAGGGAAATATTTGGAATCAGCTCATCAAGACGCATCTGATGATATGCATTTCGTTCCAGGTGACCACTACGATTTGGGATTCTTCTTTAGTAAGCTTTTTTCCATCCGCTTTTTTCTCATTTTCTTTATTATAGCTCCAATATCCTGAAAAACTAGATCAAGTTGGATGGCAAAAAAAAGTTGAGAAAAAATTAGAATAAAATGCTACCCGACCAGGGCCCGGCACGAGTCGGTTTCTAGGGTTTCTGAAAACGAAGTCTCCCCTGACTTTCGGAAGTTTTACGAAGTCCCCTTTGACCTACCTGCTTAGGAGAAGATGAAAACAAGAAAGATTTACTGGTTTGAAAGAAAGGACGTAAGATAAGAGTGAAAATCCAAATTGAAGCTGAATATAGTCAGCCCCAATCGGGATCAGGCCGAACCGTCGGCTGAATTTGCGCGCTCGCAGCGCTAGGAGATTGCGCTGCATACGCGCGCTGTCGCAGAGAGTGAAGAGATTGAGAGAGAGCAGACTAGCTAGACACAGAAGTGGCGCGAAACCCTCGCGACGCGCACTCTCGCCAAGCCAATTTTGGCCTGGTTAGGATTGGGGCAGACTGTACTACGTATGCATAAGACTTTGGCATTAGAGCGCGATATTTAACAAAGCGAGAAGAAATGAAGGCAAAAAAACAAAGGAAAGGCAATGATATGAAAACGTCTTCATGCTCAAGGATAGATTTTTGACCGGGGAATCCGTCCATGCTAGAATGATCCGAAACTTATGTGAAGTGACGAAAATATATGCTCCAGACGATCTCAGATCGTCTGGTGGCCGTCTGGAGGCGATCTAATTTTGGGAAAGGTATTACTTCACATAAGTTTCCAAATTTTTTTACATAATACTTTCGCAAATAATTTTCTATACATACAGTTCAAATTTGGTGTCATATGATTCTGTGTGCGCTGTAAACAAACAATTTGTTTATTTTAGCCTTCCTTAGAAATCGCGCGCACTTTTCGCCATGCACGATAGAGCATGTCAATCGTGTTATAACCTGTCCGAAAAGCTTGTGTTCGATTAAATGGCATTCTTGGTGCTCGGTTCCGACTCGTCAAACTCGACTCGTCACGATATTCCCTTTGCTGTTTGCTTCAAAAACGAAGTCCAGTCTGCTTTCAGACGATCTGTGTCGGGCCCTGTACCCGACAGCTGCCGCCACCGACTCCGCTTCCTTGAACAAGGCAATACAATAACTCCTTTTAACGTGGAAAAGTTTCTACTTCTTCACGTGCAGATGTTCGAAATATTCATCGTAGACCCACCGTTTTTTCAAGATAGCGAGCATTTTTTGTACTCAAAAGTGTAATGGATTGAGAGCACAAGACGTAATCGTCATTACTACGTGTTTAGTGGTGGTTTACCTCCCACGAAGTGGACATCAATTCGTGGACTTTCCGCATCCCTTTCAAGCAAGAAGGAGAATATGGTCGTTCTCGTGGGCGGGTTCTCGTTCTTGGGTTATTTAAAGCAAAGTTATCAAGATTTTTTTCACCGTCCATTTATCTCGCAGTATCACCCCCACCGGACAGGCGGACCCCAATGGCAACGTATCTTTCTCCAACCCCTCCAAACCGCCCATACAATCTATCTCTTCAACGCTTTACTGGAAGACTAGACATGCTCGACGAAAGTTGAGTAAAAGGCAGTGAATAGCTGTGGCGAAGCATTGTCGACTTGTCGAACAGCGTAAAATGGTATGGTCAGAGGGCACATGACCCCTGTAGCAGTCAATATTCTCATATAACCTGGTCGATTAGTGTTGACAGGATGGCTTTGGTTTTGACGCCTTGAAAGCTTTCTCATAGTCAGTGCCTGCGATTGAAGTAAGGCGGTACTTCCAGCAGACTTGTAGCACTCCTGAAACCGTCTGGATGTGGATTCTCTATCCAGTATCTTTCATACGCGAGCGAGGAAAATTTCTTTGAGAAGCTTCTACGGCACACTATAAAGTCAGTTATACAGTAGCTCCGAAGAGATTCGAGACTCTTATCATAGAAGAAAGGCAAACTATTAACCTAATAAAAGAATTTCTTGAGATAATATCGTCAAAAGGAAACAATTATTCGCATTCCGGTTTCGGGGCTAAGAACTATACCGGTCGTGCGACTTCCTTGGTGCCCCTCATCAGTAGTTCCCAAGGAATTGTAAAAGGTAAATAAAATAGAATGTATTTTTGAACCCAGTAGATCTTAGTGGCATGGGAAGAAATTGATATGTTCAAGGACTATAACATCAAGTTTTGGCGCCAACAAATGCCGCGTTGTCACCAGTCCGTGTTATCAGTCCATGTTTCTACCTCATGCATAAGTGGAAGATGCACACTAGTAATAAAACCGTATTTACGTAAAATATAAGGGCGATGATACATTGTATTGAGTATGACTTTATATAAAATACTGAGACTCCAACCATTGTACATAGAGGTTCTAGCCAATTCTAAAACTCTACGTCTGAAGTCTATATACTCAGAACTATTTCTGTATATTCTTAAGACCTCTAAAGCGCATTGAATAATATGTAGCGAGGTATATTGGACTTCCAATTTGGATATCTAGTTACTGTTACTCTAAAGTTATAACCATCTGTCTTATTGTATAGACTAAAACTGACGTTTTTGTTATCAATAGTTATTGTAAGATCCAAGAAATTAGTCATGTTTTTCGGCTTGTAGAAGCTTGGCAAAAGGGTAATTTCTTTCTAAGTAGAACACATACTTCGCAAAAAAAAAACGGGCACCGGTACAAATTTGGTGCGAAAGGTTTTTTGCGATAGATTCCGTTTTCTTTTGGGAAGAAGTAATCCCGTCTTTGTTCAGTAGTGCCGCCAGCGGTACGTGATATTCGCAGGGGTTCCTTCGGTACTTCTTGATACTTTGAAGGCAGCGTCTTCGGTAAAACTTCGCTGCTCAGATTTCACCTACGTGGAGCCTTCTAGCCATGAGGAACTCATACCTGAGCTTTCCAGCTCACGAAAATGGGCAAAAATCTTTTTCCGAAGCTTAGAGGTCCGCATTCAGTAACCGGAAGTCTCCTGCGCCCCGCCCTCCTCGTTTCGAACTCCGCCCACTTACACTTGTTTTCTACTGAATGGCGGACGTGGAAAGCTTTTAGTAAAGCTCATTTTCCCAATTTCATGCTCCAAAACGATATGAGTATGGATTTCAGGTATGGGTTCCTTATGGCGAGAAAGCTCCGAAAAGATGAAAAACTGAAAATGAAATTTTGCAGGACACTGCCTCAAACTCAGGCTGCTTCCAGTGTCTTCGCTTTCCTGTACTTTTGAAGATTTCCTTGCAAAGCTGTTTTGCATCGAGCGTTTGCTACCAGCTACTGAGAGAATTGCATTCTGTTCTTGGTAAACGCTCTGCTTCTTACGAGAGTCCCTTGGTTGTCTTCGAGATGCGTTCTAAGTTCTTCTCACGGATGATTTTGACACATTCTTTGCAGGCTAGCAATCTTTTCGAGAGCGCGTCGTAGTCTTACAGTCGCAAATTGTTATACAGGGTGTCCCAAAAGTGAGTACACACTTTTAAATCGCCAATATCTCTCTTCCCAATGGTTTTTTTGCCAGTCAAATACTAATACTATTGTGTAGAAGAGGCTTCAATTTAGATTTACATTACCGATCGAATCACCGATCGGTCTTTGTTACTGTAGGATTACGGTAAGAACATCGAGCATGTGGAACCATTGTGAAGTATGCCATCTGACAAAATTTTTTCAAAAAGCGGAAAAATCGTGCACTAGGGTTTTCGCGCACGCTGATCCCACTATACAACTTCTTACGAGTGTTCTCCGCTTTTTTGACGGTGTAATCACATTTCTGACAAATACTGGGGATTCGGTTATTACTGTTTGCCCGGAATAACTAGGGAAAGGAGCATCACAGTAAAGTGGGAATTTCATATTCAAATGCGGCTTCCATTACCATAGTCTAAGAGTTTTTGGCTTGTTTGGTTTTGTTCCGAGGCAGAATATGGCTTCTAATGGCCTGAAATCTTGTCGAAGTTCCTACAGTGATCCTAAGTAATGAAGAGAGATTGGTCATTCGCTCGATATGTAAATCTAAGTTGAATCCTCCTCTACAGAATGGTACTTAAAGGGCGGAAAAAGACACAATGGGAAGAGAGATATTGACGATTGAAAAGTGTGTACTTACTTTTGGGACACCCTGTATATTCCTCCAGCCTGTGATTGTCATAGGCCTTCGTTATACCTTGAGCGGTTCTTCCAAATCGCCTTCGCCATACGATCTGAGAATTTTTTAGATGTCCGCAAATACACCGCGCGCGTAACACAAATGCATAGGGTTGCTTCATACTGCCGCACTGACCGCAACTGACTGCAGCTGACCGCACTGACTGCAGCAGCCGTCGTATGCTCATGTAAAAAGAAAGCGAAATTTGACTGGAATAAGTGAAGTCAAAACTTTTAATTCTCTAGACGTCATTCAAGATATTTTGTTTGTGATCGAGGTTGTTCTTTCTTTTTATGTGAACAGGCCGCAGCCGCTGCAGTCAGGCAGCAGTCACTGCGGCAGTATGGAACAACCCATAGGCGCCTGGCTTTTGTAAAGTTGTGGATATATCAAATCTTGGTCTACACAAGATCTGACATGACCAATCCCGTCGAACATCTTTCATTGCGGCACTGTGGCAAATCTTCTGTTCCGATCTCAACTGTCGTACCTTCATTCGAACGGTGATCGAAGCCACTACAGAGGGATGGAAACACTGAGACATCGAGCAAAGTCTACAGGGCTCCTAAATTGCAGAGTCGTTTGCACCAGCGGTCGCGCGACCGCTGGTGCAAACGACTCTGCAATTTGGGAGCTCTGTACCTTTTTGGCAAAGATGTGATCGATCTCCGCAGTCGTTGCATTATGCTTCCCTTCTTTCTTTTTCTTCCAAATGAAAATGGGTTTCATAGAAAAGTAGGCGAGGGTAGTCCAACAAGACGGTTGCCGTTTTTGTTCCGGATTCCATCCACAAACGTCCCGATCCTATACTCCTTTTTAGTGGCATCCTGATTTTCGCGTTGAAATCGCACGCAACAAACTTGTAGAATGACTTCTCATTGCACACAAGTTTTTATAGTCTGCGTAGAAAACATTCAGTTTTATCAGATGTTGGTGTTGGTGACTAGCAGATGATGATGCTGATGGTCTTCTGACGCGGAGATCATAGAGGTACCGGCGATTCAAAATACGCAAAGACTGGGCGCTCTTGCGTCCAAGCAAGATAGCTTGTGCATGGCAGAGGCAGCAGATGGCAAGAGAAACGAAAGAGCGCTCGATCACAACGACGCAGATAGGTCCGCAATCTTTGCGTGCTACGAATCGCCTGTAGGATGGTTATTCAAGATGATAGGACCTCATGCGAAACGACGAGATGGACTAGTATGGGTAGGCAACAACGCCTCTAATGTCCTTTGTGGAAATTGTTCACCACAAATGTTGAGGATCTTCACCTCATCTATCGCACGTCCGTACTGTTGTTCATGTTTTGCAGAGGTACGACGTAGTATTCAATGTGCTCTCTCGAGAAAAGTGTGGAGATTGGCGTTTGTGGAAGAGATTGTCCTGCCGTTGTAGGGGCAGAGCTTGAGGCAGTCTCCACAGTGTATCGTGCCAAACAAGTCGTTTGTTCCGATCCAAACGGCGCCATGACCAACTTGACGTCGGCCTTTTTACCCATAAATGGGATCCGATGTGCAGAATTTCTTTTGTTCTAGCTGAATTACATATTCTTCCCTGAGAAGGAGCAGATTTACCACACACGTCCTTGCCTCCCACGGTCGATCGCCGACCTACCTTGGGTAATGGCGCCAGTGATTCTTACCTACATCTAGGCGGCGGAAGATCTAGCTCGCCAGCGCTCGAGATCGCCACACCTTGCTGCTTTAAATTTTTTTACAGTATGAATAAAGTCAAGAGAACTGTTTGAACTGAATTATCTGCAGTCCCACCGTTTGCAATCTTGGAAGGTACCTTTGATATGCAGCTAATACGGTAGTTGGACTGAAACTGTTCTGCAAATGGTCAAATAAATTTATTGTTCCTGAGAATTTTGTTTCGAAGAATGTTATGAGGAATATTTCAGTCTCTCTACTCCACTCTTTCCCCCAACCATCTGCCCCTACAAGAGGGTGTAGCCTCACAAGGCGCCACTATGACTATGGGGAATCCACCACCTCCTGGAGTGATATCACCATTAGAGCGTGCGATGTCTATAGATGAACATCTACAGTCGATGCCGATGCCAGCGGACTGGAACGAACAGTATCGGTCGCAGGAGGTGAGTGTTGATATGATTTTTTGGTATTGCCGGAAAATGTCAGGTGTAGTCGACTGCAGGATCGCTTCTAAAGTTGTGTTATGAGATTGTCAGTTACAAGATCAAAATCTTACAAAAACTGAGTAATCTTATATATAAAGCTGAATGTCTGTTTGTATGTATGTATGTATGTATGTATGTATGTCTGTATGTCTGTCTGTGTGTACGTATGTTCCGAATAGAAAATTCCATTTCTGAACCGATCCGGACCAAACTTGGCACACATACACTTCGGGCCCCGGCGCGTGTCATAGGCTACTTTTCGTCATCGATCGATATCGATTTTATCGATTTTTATCGATTTTTTTGCTGAGTTCACCTACGGGGCTGGGAGTTGGCACAGGGGGGTAATCGAGCATGGGGATTCCGAATACAATATTGGTTTTCAGGATTATCGATTACTTTTATCGATTTTATCGATTTTTTTGCAAAGTTTGAGCTACGGGGCTGGGAGTTGGCACAGGGGGGTAATCGAGCATGGGGATTCCGAATACAATATTGGTTTTCAGGATTATCGATTACTTTTATCGATTTTATCGATTTTTTTGCAAAGTTTGAGCTACGGGGCTGGGAGTTGGCACAGGGGGGTAATCGAGCATGGGGATTCCGAATACAATATTGGTTTTCAGGATTATCGATAACTTTTATCGATTTTATCGATTTTTTTGCAAAGTTTGAGCTACGGGGCTGGGAGTTCGCGCAGGGGGGTAATCGAGCATGGGGATTCCGAATACAATATTGGTTTTCGGGATTATCGATTACTTTTATCGATTTTATCGATTTTTTGCAAAGTTTGAGCTAGGGGGCTGGGAGTTGGCACAGGGGGGTAATCGAGCATGCTGATCATCCCCAAGGGGGTGATCAGCATGCTCGATTACACCCCTGTGCCAAATTCCAGCCCCCTAGCTCAAATTTTGCAAAATCGATAAAATCGATAGAAGTAATGGATAATTCCAAAAACTAATATTGTATTCGTAATCTGCATGCTCGATTACCCCCCTTTGCAAACTCCCAGCCCCGCAGGTCAAACTTTACAAAAAAATTGATAAAATCGATAAAAGTAATGGACGATCCTGAAAACTAATATTGTGTTCGTAATCAGCATGCTCGATTACCCCTCTGTGCAAAATCCCAGCCTCGCATGTCAAAATTTACAAAAAATCGATAAAATCAATAAAAGTAACCGATAATTCTGAAAACTAATATTGTATTCGGAATCCCCATGCTCACTTCCCCCCTGTGCCAACTCCTAGCCCTGTAGGTGAACTCTGCGAAAAAATCGATAAAAATCGGTAAGATCGACATCGATCGATAACGAAAAGTGGACTGTGACACGCGCCGGGGCCCGAAGTGTATGTGTGCCAAGTTTGGTCCGGATACGGCGGAGCCGGGTAAGCCAGCTAGTACAAGATAAAGTGATACTTGTGCGCCTTCAAATGTACGCCCTAGTGCGATTCTTTGAGGAGGTTTTTGCACAAGTCAGTTCGCACTACACTATTGCTTCACTGATGTGTTATAAGTACACAAGTGCTGAAGCATGATTACTTCTGATCTTTCCTCATAGAGTACAACTTGCACAATACAGATTAAAATAGATGCGGTTGCCATGATGACTATCAAATTAAATTCATAAAATGGCACGCTGCACCGTTTGCTGCTTTGGCTATCATCTTGAGTTATGAATTTTGCGTTTCCAACAGTTGTTCTGACAATGTAGAACACTGATTTTTCCATTATTCCTATTCTCGCTCTGGTTTCTTACTTTCAAAACCGCGGATGTTTCGCTGTCCCATATTGCATTTGCTGGATATATTCCCATTCTAATTGTTAGAGAACTGCGTACAAGCAGCAGGCTTATGTTGTCCGAGTATAACTTTCGGATATACTATCAGATGGGAGCATCTGCTCTGTCTGACGACTCATGGAGGATTTTTTTGAAAGCGCGGCTTGAAAAAAAAAGCGCGGCTTGAAAAAATGCCGAATCCCGTGGGTCAGCCTCAACTATCTGGTACTTTCAATTTCACATTGTTCTGGTAGCAATTCGTCGTTTGGAGGTAAAGAGTCTTGCTGTTACTAGGGCGAATGAACTTCCATTGGTCATACGTTCCTCGTACACGACGCTGCTCTTTTTTCTCTTTTCCCACATCACGAGTTGATCATGTGAAAAGATCATAACTACAAGTCGTGGAAGAAATGTGTGGCTTAGGTGTTCCGAGAACGAAGAATGAGGCACATAGATAAGGCACGAAGTAAATTCTGAGAATAAATATGATGTCTTTTTACGCTGATATCTTACTGAGCAGATTGAGACTAAAAGTCTCGTGAATGGCTTGGTTTAATATTGCAAGAATTGAAATACGAAGAAGGGGAATACCTGCAAGTCCACGATCTACGGAATTAGCCGTTACTTTCCCTCGAACGCTGTGAATATATTTAATTGGCAAGCCGGAAGGGTGGGGATTCATTACGCAAACTTATTTGCTGCCATTTGCCTGCTTGGTGGAAATCCCGTCGACCGCCATCGCCTCGGAACAAGCTTTCTTACAAAAGCGGCGCATTTTTTGGCTAATGACTTAATATACAGGCGTTCTCAACTGCAGTGTCAGGTGCACCAGCGGCTTTGATCGCCGCTTCGCCTGGACCCTATGCCGCGTGCGCTTGTCTTCTAGTGATTTTTCCGTGCTTGAGCGTGGGAAAGGGCTTGGACCTGATTTGTCAATCAGGCTGTGAAAATGTTCAGAGAACCTAGCGAACGTGGTACAAGGCAAGACCGCAGCGCGGACCTGAGTTGCTGGTGCGCATGACATTGCAATTGAAATTGTCTGTTCAAACGCCCCAAATTTTTTATAGCGCGCTTACTTCCTTCTTGACGCTCCAATCTAGATCTAGAATACGAGAGGCCAAATTCGCATCAGTTTCGATGGTGACCTGAATCTGCGCTCCAAAATCCCATAAGCAATTTGCGGTCCTCTTCAAGTGTGGTCTTGTTATCCCTCTATTCAATAAGTCACCGCCTGCTGATATCACACTGTCAACAGCTTGCTCAATTCTGGGGTGCTTGTCGAAACTTCTTTTACCGAATATGCCAAGCTTTCTGGTAATACTGGATGAACCACCTAGCTCCGAAGGCAGGTTCGTTCGCAAACAACTTCTCCGTCCGAGGAATATGAAATCGCCCCTACGCCGAACTCTGAAGCGTCCGAAATTCCCTGATAGGGGAATGGTCAGAAGTTGAAGTGGCCAGTCCATACAAGCTGCATACCATTCGATGCAGCATAGAATGCTGATTTCATATCTGTCTTCCGTATCTGCAGAGCGCCTTTTTAGGCGAAGTTATGAGCAGCTTTACTGTGAAAAAATCGTACACAAAAACTGCGAAATTAGACACATCATTGTTCTTTTAGCTCACTTCTAGTTACGAGCCATATGAAGTGAGCAGTTGCATGTTTTGGTCCAACACTGAGCCAAGAATGGCTTTGTACGGCCAAGTTTGCCCTTTACACGCACAATTTCTTAGCAAAATAATGACTTTTAACGGCTTATAACTTCGCCTACAAAGGCGCTCTGCAGATATGGAAGATGTATTAGAAATCAGCATTCTATACTGCGAATGGTATGCAGCTCGCTTGAATTGGCCACTTCAATTTCTGACCATTCCTTTGTGAGCACATTTGAGACTTCTAGAACGAACAAACAAGAGGAGTAACAAATTGAACTAAATGTAAGAATCATTAGAACTTGAAAAGGTAACGATAGAAGTAAAATGATCGCAATGGCTATCCATTGAAGGTCCTGGCGAGGTGACATCGGCTAAATATTCCCTTTTGGGCGCGTGGAAGGTCAGGCTTGTGTTGTAAGGTGCTGAGCTCGGAGATCAATACCGGCCTCAGCACAATATAGTAACCGCTTTCCAAGTTGGATGTACCAACTAGCGAGGGCAGGGTCGCTCGCAAACAAGCTCTCGTCCGAGGATATGAAATCGCCCCTACGCCGAACTCCGAAGCGTCCGAAAATCCTCTGAGCACATTTGAGACTTCCAGAACGAAAAAGCGCATTTGTTGCCTCAAACATCAACAGTCTGTTGATGTTTGCCTCCTTTTGTGAAATAAGAGCCCATCTAAAGCTTAACGCGGTGCCTACCGCCTTTTTCCACTTCTGACAGTACGGCTTTTCAGCGCTTTTCCAGACCTAAGGAGTTACTAAGTAAATTGATGCCTGCGTACCTTGTCATCGCAGTTTTTCCCAGAAGGACATGCCCTTCATCCTCTGCGATCCGCCGGCCAAAATATATCTTTCCCTTTTCGTGTGATGTCATTTATTTCTGCCAAGTCGATCTTGTGGCTTCATCAACCACCTCCTTGATCGTGCAGGAAAATTCTTGTTGGCTGGCATTACGAAGAAGGCAAGAAGCTGGCATTACGTACGATTCTGCAGTCTTCACCGCTTTCTCGCTTTTGCGTGAGCAGACCAGAGGCCATCGTTGAGGTGTATCTTCAAACGCAGGTCTCATTAGTTTAGTGAACACCATGGGGGCAGAGGATAGTCCGAAGGGGAATACCGCAAACTTGTACAATGTGTTCTTCCAAGTAAAACCAAGATACCTGTGAAAGCTAAGCTTAATTCTGACATAGTGGTAACAAAATAAGATCAAATTGCGGTCATAAAACTCACCCTTGGTAACAAACGAACGACATTGGGGACATCTTCAAAAGTGATTCTGTTCTTCTCGATATTGTCTTGTGTGTTGATAAGTTTGAGATAAGCCGTGGATTAAGATGGAGATTTCATCTCCAGATTTCCTAACTATCGCACCAACTCTCAGCAAACTTGTTGTCTCCAAGTCAAGTCCCCTATTGTGAGACTTGCAAAAGTCCCTCTCGATTGCCAACACCTGCTTTGACAAAATAATTGGGGTATATTTATCGCAGATCACACTTCTTGATGTTGAAAACGGGAAAGAT